AGATTACTGTCCGTGATGCTGGGTTTGAAAGGGGAAATTCCCATTACAATTCCCTTTAGATACGAAGATTGAGGTCAGCAACTTCACCAACCAGTGGAATTTTATATCTTTTCTTTAATATACTAAAGTAAGAAAAAATAAGAGGTAAAGAAAGTTTGGGTCAAAAATGACATGGCTCTGCTGCTTTAAACACCAAAGTTGCCAAATTTACTTGAAACTGATTTTAATATTGAATTCACAAAATAAAAAGAATTGAAAATTTCATACCCAGCTATGAGCCTGACTCAGTTGGTAGCATTCTCACCTTTCAATCAGAAGGTTGTGGATTCAAGCCCCATGTCAGAACTTTGAGTTCTTTTCTCAAGTTTCCTCATTCCACACGCTTTTGTTTACGTAGCATTAAGTAGAAACCTGGTTGTTAGTCGATTGAGGGATCGTTTTCTGGGATAATAATCCCTGAAAAAAAATTTGGTCACTCAATACATGACTGTTTTTGGAACACTGCTGCGTGCAATTGGCTGCCGTGTTTTGCTCACAAAATATACAATCAATTCACTTTACAGAATATTCTGTGAAGCGCATTGAGATGTTTCGAAGACATGGTAAAGTGCTACATCAAATGCAAGAATTATTATTAAGCGCTCTGAGATGCTACTCTGCATGAAGGGTGCTATATAAATGCAAGTTGTTGTTACATTCATTGACAAAGAACACAGTCACTGCACTTTACGGTAAATCCTTTGTGCACTTTGAGATGTATTTCCAAAGGGATGAGACCCTATATCAAGAAAAGAATTATCATTATTATTGTTATTATTACCATTATAATACCCACGCTGTAGGTCTGGCTCAGAGAGCAATATGTTTCTCGGCTCTCACTTATTCTCTTTTCTCTCACTTGTTCATGTGTCTATGTTTACAAAGCATTTTCCCTCAGTGTTGTGGCTGAAGTGTACTTAAGAACATTTAAGATTGTTGTCAGCTGAAGCTGCCAAGCAATTGGATTGATTCCCTACGTGGCAGATCAAAGACTTCACCTGTCAATCAGGGGATTAATTCAGTTAGTTCTTGGTATGTATGCGCTCTTAAGATTTAATTGCTCGAGTTAATCCATGGAATGACAGGCAGAGGTGTTTGATCTGCCTCATACAATGTCTGAGTGAAGCTCTCTTTGTAGATGGGTCTTTTGTTGTGTTATTCTGCTTCCTGAACCTGAAGATTTTGATATTACATGTCTCAGTCTGTCATTGAGGTACTGTATGATATTATTGCCAAGGGCCTGACCATATGCCAGACAAAGCCTAATCTTTTGAACCTGCAAGCTGTCTAACAGTGGGGGAAAGAGCAAGATCTCTTCCCTACCTGTGCTTAACACAGTACACCATTTAATAATAACTTTTGTTATGGCGCCTTTTACATTAGGAAGACATCGCAAAGCACTTTACAGGATTTATTGTAAAGTCCAGTGACTATGAATGCAGTAAATGCATATTGCAACACAAGTCAAATCAAACAAAGTGCATTCACTGCCACCCAGTTGTCAATATCATCTCTGTGATCAAGCTGCCCTTCGGAGCTTTTGAAAACTCGCAATCCTTTACTATTAAATGCAAGCTTTGCTGAAATTACAGTGTTTCCAATCCAACCATTATGTTCCATAATGAAGTGAACCAAAGTCTTATTACTTATAACTATTGATAGAGTCAACAAAATAAAATTGAACAGAATTAGTTTTAGATATTCTGGTACACTTGGGGGAAATGGATTGGAGTCTAATTTGCAGTATTTTTTCATAATGTGAATCCCAATAATGAATCCCTGTAGAATTCCCGTCAGCCCACGGGAGCTTTTCTCTGGAAGGAGAGTGCACTGGGCAGAGCTCTGCAGGGTTGGTGTAATGCATTTCTAGTGACTGAAAGGAGCATTCATTTACATTTCTTATTAAAGAATCATGTTAGGCAATATTGTATTGGAACTAAGACTCCAATGTCTATTTACTGCAAACATAAGGCAGTGGTGAATCAGCAAGTTTTACATCAGTGGATTTTAAAGAATAGAGAAGTTAAATGTCTTATACTTTTAGTTCCACTTGTCTATTTTCTAATAAACCACAAAACTGTTAATTACATCTGGACCGTCACCAGACTGTCACCTCTTCTGTCACCCCCCCTCCCCCACCACCCATAGGTATCTGATTTTAGGAGTTAATGGTGCCACATTTTGATTGTATTTTTACCCTTACGGTAGAACTCCCACCCCCTCCTTATCTACCTTGTATTTTGTTAACATTTTTCCTGTACACATATAAAAGCTGAACCAAAATATATTTCTGTGCCTAAACCGTTTTTTAATAACGTCAGTGCTGAGGAACTGGAATATATTTTATTACATGTTGCATTAGACTGTGGTCAGAAGATCTATTCCATAAACTCGTGTTCTCTTTCCGTTTTCATCCATTTTTCCTTTCAGTTTTCCAACGTTTATCATTATCGTTCTCCTTAGTGCACCCTGTGCTTGTCTTCAGTGGAAGATGAGAGTGCAAAATATATTACAGATATTCCAATTCCCCAGCACTGTCTGTATTATTAATTAGACTTCTTCAATTCACATTCAAAATAGATCACCTTAGGTCAATGAGATGACCTGTAGCTAAAGAGAGGGTCTATGTCTGAGCAGAGAAGCTGGATTCTAAAAGACATCAACTGGAAAAAAATCCATATCTGTACAGTGAATATTGACAAGAATGAAGAAAGAGCTTATAATTTTATAGCTCCTTACCTTATTGAAACATCTCAAATAGATTTGCAGTAATATCAGTCACTCATATTGACTTTTTCTTAGGAAAGCAGCAGTCATTTTGAACACTGGAAGGTGGACATTAAAAACCTCCTTATAGTATTGGAAGAGGGAAATGTCCTGGTCATCAACCCTCCAGATCAATCGATTGTTTGGCCGATTGTTGGACTGTGCATCATAACTGTTATGTTTGCCTACAAAAAGCAGTTATTGTACATGACAATAATTTCTCTTGAGACATTTTGAAGGGTAAAAAGCTATAAAAATAAAACAAATTTATGTAATTCAAACTTCCAGTTTAGACAATGTATTCCAATTGAGAGGGATGTATAGACACTTAGCCTGCTTCACTGTGCAAGCAGGACAGTACACTTGATTCTGGGTCAGAAGGTTATGGATTCAAGACCCAGGATTCGAGCTGTAGTTAGTTTGATTCAAGGGATTGTGACCAAACAGTGGTCTAAATGAAAATGATCCGAGAAAAATCCTGTATAGTTAAAGCTGAAGAAACAGTTTAGTTTGGCTAACAAATTATATTGGAAGGGCTAATCTGATGAGTGTGACAAAGAAAGTGTAAGCGGTCCGGGACACTACCCCGCGTGAAAGGCACTATGTAAATACAAGTTGTTGTTGTTGTATCTGAATCCTTGTCCCGCTGGAATTTAAGTGGTATTCAAGACATACACAGTATTGGTGGTTACTGTCCCTGCCCCCTTTTTAGGTAAAACATGGGTTAGATACAGAGAAAAGCGATCTTCAATGACAATAATAATGAGAATTAAGCTCCATCTCAGATACATATCCCCTGCTGCCAAACTACGTCTTTCCATATACTGTACCAGCAATCTTTGTCCCTCTGAAGTAAGACTGCCAGTTCGGTGTTGAAATATAGAGTTCTGTGTAATGGACTTGGGGCAACTCAGAACTAGTTGGATAACAGGGAAGTGAAATTAGTTTGAGACTGGGATGTCATAGGCACAATATGCAATATGCAAAGAAAAAAGATAAATGACAGAAATCTGAAGGTAAACCAGAAAGTGCTGGGAATGCATAACAAGAGACAGGCTAGGTAATACTTTGGGGTTTCAGAGCTGTCCAATACTGATGAAAGGTCACAACTATAATGTTAAAATATTTTTTCATTTCATTTGGGATATCTACCACCAGTAGAGAGGAAGTTTTCATCCATCCAGGAGACTGGATTTAAGTTCAAGAGGTGAAATGGTTGGGCGAGTAAAACTGTGCCTTATAATCTAACGATCTTTGTTACTAGGTATCCCGTGTGATTCAATCAAAAATATTCTGGTGCTCTGTGCTTCAAAGTAATAATAATAATCTTTGCATTTGATATAGCACCTTATCACATCTATGAAATGTCTCAAAGCGCTTCACAGAATATACTGTAAAGTGAATTGACTGTGGATTTTGTGGGCGAAAGTGTTATCTATCCGTGATTCCCAGCACAATGACTTCCCGATCTCTTCTGACTCTGGGTAAAGCACTTTCTCAAGGGGAATGAAGAATGTAAGGAAATATAGAAGGGCAGTGAACTAGCCTGTGTCTCTCAACAGCTGTTTCTAGTCTATTTCTAGAAATTTCCTTTGATTAACATAACATTTCTCTCTTTTTGTATGATAACATACTATATCATCGCAATTAAAAATAAAATACAGATTGTTTATATTTACTGCCTATCTTTGCTCTTTTATTTGACAGTTAATGGCTGTTTTGTTTGATAACTGGATGGTGATGGATGGATGAAGGTATGACTAATAAACAAAAATCACATAAGAAATTGCCATAACAAGAATCATTGGCTCAGTACTATTAGCACAAGTCAGACAGGAGTTTTGCAGCAAGTGTGTGCATTCTCTCCGTAAGTGAGTTAGACAGAAACTAATTTGCAGTAATTTGTAACAGGAGTCATTAATATTGCCTCCAACCAGCAAAACAGGAATCTGGAAATGAATAGTGAAGGAATTAGAGAGGTTGGGGGCAGATCAGTCACTGTATTGATTAGCCTCATCAATGATGTGATAATTATCAGAACACACTAGTGATAACACATTACACATCAAAATACTCACCTTATCATCACAAGGGCAGCAATTTTCCAATACTTATCGTAATATCACTAATGGATGCAGAAACATGCACCTGCGTTTTCCATCCTAACTGCATCATTACCTTTGTCTGTACTCTAGGCCTTGCACAGTCCTACTGGTGATGGGAAAGATGCGAGGAATGTGAAACACAATGTGCGAGTGGATTTGCACTAAATAAAATGGCAATTTATTCTTGAATTGAGTGGAATAAAAGGAATCCCTGAAGATGTCCAAGAAGGGGCGTGGGAAGGCTGAAAAGCCTGAAGCCCTGATTACAGCCTTGCAGGCTGCTAATGAGGACCTCAGGACTAAACTGACAGATATACAAATCGAGCTTCATCAGGAGAAATGCAAGGTAGGTGATGCCTATTTATCTGGTTAAATCCTGGGCTAAAATTTGCCACATTTCTAAACTTGTACCTTGACAGAGCGAATGAATCATGAATACCACATCTTTCATCCCAATGTCTCAAACAAATATAATCCACGTTCGAGATTAACTTTGTGGTCAATCTCTAACTTCTGTGAGTAATTGTTTAGAAAATGTGGAGTTTCTCAAGTGCTTCTCTGAACAATGTATGGTTACTAAGAATGGCCTACTGTTCACATGTTCCTATTTAGACCCCAGAAATAGGGTCCCTTCTGCCCATCAAGTCTGATTTCCTTCTCTACATGAATTACTAAATTAAATCCCATTCCTTTGCTGACGTTTTTTTTTAATCTTTAATATTCTTTTCTTGTTGCTGTGGTGTGAAAGTCCTGGCTGAATCTCACCTTGTGGTATGTCAGTAATGAGGGCGATTCACTTTGAGACATCAAACCGAGGTCCCATCTGCATGGATGTTAAAGATCTCATGGCATTATTTGAAAAGAGAAGGGAGTTTCTCCTGGTTTCCTGGCCAATAGGATTTTAAAAAAATGATCATTCATTTCATGGCTATTTACAGGATATTGGTGTGTTGTAAATTTGCTGCCTTGTTCATCTTCAAATATAAGTTGCTACATTTTAAAGAAAAATTCTGAAGGGTTTTGAGATGATTTGATGTGATAAGATGCTGTAACAAATCAAGTATTATTAGATTTATTATTATTAACACTCTTTCAGTCTTTTCTATTTGAAACTGTTGGCGGCCAAATCCCAAACAATATTGAGGGCATCTCACTAATAAAGGCAAAGTAAGCTAAATTATTGACAGCTTTAAAATAGTGTAAGATTGCACTGCAGTTAGTTAATGGATGAGAAATAGTCTTTTTTTATTCTTGAATTGTTCCGGATATATTCAAAAAAGTAATACATGTCTTAGAGGAGGTTGTGGGATATTAAGACAGATGTGAGCAGTCTCTTTTGATGGGATGTTTTGCTTATTTGAGTCTCTATTCAGTGAATACTATAAAGCCAGTATTTCACTGAAAGCTAATCAGCTTTCTTCAAGTTATCATTTTTGCTCACTTACATAAATAATCAAAGTGCTCAACTCCAACCAAAGAGTACCAGACCAACTTCCAGGACTATTGTCTTTCTAAGTCGCTCAATTACACAAACCTTGTCAATCCAATTCAGGCAGTCGGGAGAATGGTATATAGAAGCAATATATCCCATCTGAGACAGAACAGAGATGCAGACTACTTTTTGGGTTGAGTTTGGTTTCAGCTGATACTGAATTTATAATCTACATTAGAGTGTTAGGACAGGCACTGAGAAAAAATACTGGTCCTATTCAACTTATTACCAGCCACTCAGCAAAGAACCCTGCCCTCTGACCCCCTCCTCCCATATCTCATCCCAAGCAAATGACTTTCACTATTTATATACAAGAACATGGAAAAATATTACGACTCCAGAAGAAAGCAATATTTTGCAGCATTTAGCATTGCCAGCAGACAGCCTAATGACTCATTTAATAAATGCTCTGTCTGATGATGAAAGCTGATGAATAATGTAATTTAAATCATGTAACAGGAACCTCTTGGGTCACTTTATACCACTCTGTTTTGACTTCTTGCTCACTTCAAGAATGAGAGTACATCTTACCCATTAAGTCACTCACTCCTTCCAATTGTTGGCACCTTGCATTGTCTGCCTGTCAACCTTTGTTGTGGTTCACTCTGAAAAGATGAAAGCTTCATTCAGATGAGTGAAATGACTATGCAGACATCTCGTTTGCCACAATTGCTCAAGGGCGCCTGAGGGCTTCACGTATTTCCCCCACAGAAGAGTTTTTGATCTGTTGGCCTATGCTTTGTGTGCTCTATTTGTAGGTGAGCAAGCTTGAACGAGAAAAGGTGCAAGAGGCTAAGCGAATACGAGAGCAGGAGCAGCACAAGCACACGGCAACGGTGACGGATCTGAAAAGCAAGCTGCACGAGGATAAGATGAAAGAGCTGCAGTCTGTTCGAGAGACACTGATCAAGCAACATGAGCAGGAATTGGCTCGTTTGAATAAAATCAAAGACCATGAGATTCAGCGACTAAAGTCACTTGTGAACTCGCTGCGAGATGGCAGCAGTGACAAAGTAAGAACAGCCTTAACCAACGAGGCCCGGGATGAGGCCAGGAAAGCATTTGACTCCGAGCGCCTTAAACTTTTACAGGAAATCCATGAACTGAAATCATCCAAGAAGCAGGTGGATGAGGCACTGAACAACATGATTCAATCGGATAAGATAAAAGCAGGCAATCTGCGCAGTGAGCATCACTCCCACCAAGAGGCCATAAGCAAAATCAAATGGGAGTGTGAAAGGGATATCCGAAGATTGGTGAGTGGCAGTGACTCCCTAACATTGATATTGCGGGTAAAGTTTAAAAGGAAGATGCTATTGTCATTTTTATTTTTGCTCACAATATAATAGACTTGCAAAATCCCCCAGTTTTGTGCTGTTTCCCATTGTTCATTTTATGCTTTTTAACTTCCTAAACTTCTAAGCATTGAGGTGACCATTTGTCCAAAAGAAACACATCACAGGGCTAATGCTATTAGTGACATTGTATTCTCAAACAATCAAAATACAATAAGCATAAATTCCGATAAACTACAATGTTAACTCTTTGCGCCCACCTCTTATCATTATTACACAGACATTTAAAGGTCATCTGGACTATGCCCTCTTCTGCTGATAAAATTGTGGTGAATCATGCAACTTGTGATAGTTTTGAGCAGAAAGCAAAATATGACCTAAAGCTGTATTTTCACTAATCCATTCAAACCAAGATTTTCTATCAATTACAGAGCATGTTCTGTGACATTTATTGGTGAAACTAATCTTTACTCAGTTGATGAAGGTAAGTGCATACTTAGAAATCACAACTGAGGCAAGAACCAACATCTGCAACTCGGATTCCCAGTTTGTTGTGAGGTGAAACTGGTGGGAAGGTGGTTGGAGATGCACTTTGAAAATTAAAACCAATGTTGAAACAATTACCTGAATCATGAGGTTTCTTTTCCTGCCTGTAAAAATAGAATGGGGGTTGCACATAAATATGTCCTACTTTTGAAGCTGCAGTGTGGTGCCTGATTTAATCTTCTTTGTTCCTATGTCTCTCAGAAGTGTGGATCAGACCTGGACATAGTGACTTTTTTTGTATTTAATTGTTATTCCAAAATCAGCAGAATGTAGGAGTTTGGTTTAACTTGTGGACATATCTTCAAAAGCCCTGGTATTTGTGGAAGAAATGGCACACTTGCAACCTTTGTCTTATCATTCCAGAATCTGGACAGACATTAAGCATGCACTTACTTAGAGAGGTCCAGTGATGATGGAAAAAAACATGATGAACCAGGCAGATATGTGAAAGCAAGTGATAGCTTTGGTGGAAGATCATAAGAAAGTGATATATTTACAAGGACAGACCTGTCAAAGGAGGAGCCCAGGGCAATAACAAATAAGATATCAAATTGTCAAAAGTACATAACAACAATAACAATACACAGGAATAGGAGAAGGCCATTAGATTTTATTAGAATGGGGCAGATCTTTTAATCCAATTTTCCACCTTTTCTCTCAATACCTTTAATTCCCAAGGACCAATGTTCAGATGCTTCATGAGGGCAAGAAAATCGACAGTTTAAAGTCAATTCCAAAAATTATTCTCATGATTATGATTGTAGAAAGATTTTTTAAGAGGATGGACAATTTGACAATTTTCAACACTTTAGAGGTATTGGGGCGTAATTTGAAAGATAAGTGCAGTTAGGATGATGCATAATTTCCACTAACAGCAAAAGTAGATTATTTAACAGAAACAGGATTCAATTATTTTATTTTGGGCTCATAACCTAGGCCAATAGAAAAGTGTGGAAATATTTGCCCCAAATTGCAGGGAGATTTTTGGCAAATTTTGCAGCAAATGGCAGGGAGTTGTTTCTTCAGCATAAACTGTGTGGCCTTTATTGGGGGGGGGGAGGGGGTAAGGGGGGACACCAGCGAGGCTACAGGAGCTCTCAGGGCCCAGCACCGCACACAGACCCAGGGAGAGAGACACACACACTCAGAGACACAGACAGGGACACACACTCACAGACAGAGAGAGAGATACACACACTCAGAGACACAGAGAGAGACACACACACTCAAAGACAGAAACGTACATAAGGACATGAGAAATGCTAGACGAAAAGAGACCAAGGTCCATTTGGTTCGCCTTTCACCTTCCTGGTGGTCACATGAACATATGTCCCAAACTACCGATGTACTATATCTCATAATGTTATTTCCTAAAAGAAAACTATCTAATCTGTGTTTGAAAGAATCAACATTTCCTGCTTCAACTGTCTCCCTCGGGAGCCTGTTCCACAGGTTCACTATTCGCTCACTGAAATAGTGTTTGCATAGATTCCTTCTGAATTTATCCCCCTTCAATCACAGGCCATGTCCTCTGGTTGTGAAACACACACACACTCGCAGACACAGACAGAGACACACATTCTCAGAGAGAGAATTTTGAGGGGATCCGCTCAGCTGCCTCGCCCCTCAATCTACTCACCTCTCCCCATTTCACCCTCTTACCCCAGCCCCTTCCCATCCCTCCCTCCACAACTTCGAACCTGTCTCCCACTCCTCTCTCACCACCACTATAACCCGCATGAAACCAACCACCAGCTCCCTCGACCCCATCCCTACCCTTCTCCTTACGTCCCAGCTCCACCTCCTTGCCCCTCTCTACTCACAGACATCATAAACCTCTCCCTGTCCACTGGTACTGTTTCCACCCCTTTAAAAATGGCCGTCATCATTCCTATCCTTAAAAAAAACCTCACTGGACCCATCACTGCTCTTAAACTACTGCCCCATCTCCAACCTCAACCTTCACGGCTCTGTCCTTGACTGGTTCAGATCATACCTTTCACGCCGTCTCCACTTCATCTCCAAAACGGTTTCTCCTCTAGCCCCTGCACCGTCTCGTGCGGCATTCCTCAGGGCTCTGTTCTTGTTCCCCTCCTCATCAATATCTATATGCTCCCTTTTGGTGATATCATCTGCAGATATGGGGTCAACTTCCACATGTATGCGGATGACACCAAACTGACCTCTCCACCTCCACCCTTGAAACCAGGACCACTGCTGTCCTGACAGAATGTCTGTCAGACATCAAATCCTGGATGAGAGTTAACTTTCTTCAGTTGAATGTCAACAAGACCGAGGCCCTCCTGATTGGCTCCCGTCAGCACCTCCTCACCTCAGGCACTAATAGCAGCACCAACCAAGGATGCACCCTCCACCTCACTGAGCCAGTCCGGAACCTTGGTGTCTTGTTTGACCCTCAACTATCCTTTCTACTCCACATCGGTGCCATGACCCACTCTGCCTTCCCCCATCTCTGCAACATCGCCCGGCTCCGCCATTGTCTCATACCACAGACCATTGAAACCCACATACACACATTCATTCCATCCAAGCTTTACTATGTAAACTCAATGCTTGTCAGCCTCCTCAACTCCTTCCTCCATAGGCTGCAGATCATCTAAAACTCTGCTGCCCATGTCCTCTCCCACACCAGGCTCCATGACCTTATCAACCCCATCCTCGCCCGACTCCATTGGCTTCCCATCACACAGAGGATCCAGTTCAAGATTCTGTTCCTCACCTTCAAATCCCTCCATGGTCTTGCTCCCCACTAGCTCTGCAACCCAACCCCCTACCATGCTCCCTGCTCCCTCTGTTCAGCGTGCTTCAGCCTGCATCACTTCCCTCTCCTCACCCACCCCACCATTGGCAGGCGGGTCTTCTGCCACTCTGGAACTCCATCCCGCAGTCCCTCCGCCTTGTCCCCTCCCTTGCCTCATTCGAGACCCATCTCAAGACCCTCCTCTTCGACTAACGCTTTTGATCACCCTCCTTCCCCCCACTGCCCTCCACCCTCCCTGATCCCGACCCCCAGCTCAGGTCCAAAATACTGACTGTCCAACGCCTTGGGACATCGCACCGATGTGAAAAGCGCTATACAAATGTCCACAAACACAGGGAGTGCGACACAGACATACTCACACAGACACTCACAAACAGAGAGAGAAAGACGCACAGACACACTCATAAATGCTTATAGAAAGACACACTCACACAGACACACACACAGAAAACAACAACAACAATTACATTTATAGAGCACCTTTCATGTCGGGAGAACGTTCCAAAGAGCTGAACGGTCAGATGTCAGGGCCCGGTATGGGGGAGGGGTGGTGTAGGGTGAGGGAGGGCAGAGAGGTGGGAGGGAGACCAAAGGCACGGTCGAAGAGAAGGGTCTTGAGACCGACCTTGAAGGAGGCAAGGGAGGAAGCGAGGCGAAGGGACCATGGGATGGAGTTCCAGAGTGTGGGGGCAGAGAGGCCGAAAGCCCGGCCACTGATGGGAGGGCGTGTCAGGCGGGAGACATGGAGCAGACCGGAGCCCGCTGAACGGAGGGAGCGGGCAGGTTGGTAGGGAGTCAGTAGGTCAGAGAGGTAGGAGGGGGCAAAGCCATGGATGGCCTTAAAGGTGAGGACGAGGATCTTGAACTCGATCCTCTGGGGGATGGGGAGCCAGTGGAGCCGGGCGAGGGTGGGAGTGATGGGGTCCCGGAACCTGGTGCTCGAGAGTACACGAGCTTCAGAGTTTTGGATGATCTGCAGCTTGTGAAGGGAAGAGTTGGGAAGGCCGATGAGGAGGGAGTTCCCGTAATCGAGCATTGACACAGACAATCATAACAGCAGGCCTCTGAGTAAAGCCCATTTGCTGCTTGAGGCACATTGCGCCTGAGCGTCCGTAGCCGCTCCACCCACAGACGTCAGGTAAACAGCGGGCCAGAACCATAGAATCATAGAATTACACAGCAGAGCTTGTGCCAGCTCTTTGAAAAGAGCTATCCAATTCAATCCCACTCCCCCACGCTCTCCCCATAGCCCTGCAAACTTCGGCTCCCCAAATAATTGGAGTTCTGTAGCTCAGTGGTTAGAGCACTCGCCTTGCAAGTGAGACACCGGGGTTCAATTCCAGGCAGGGCAAAACGTTGGGCAAGTTTCCTTACTCCACACGCCTAATAATAATCCCTCCAAAACAAAAAAGCAATAATAAATTGGTCATTTTCAATCCACAACTGTTTGTGGACACTGCTGTGCGCAATTGGCTGCCGCATTTCGCCCACAAATATACAATCAATTCACTTTACAGCATATTCTGTGAAGCGCTTTGAGAAGTCTAGAAGATGTGGAAAGCACTATATCAAATGCAAGGATTATTATTATTATTATCTACATTTGTAGAAACTACATTTCTAGCAGGTTTGTCACAGATTCTGCGGCCCCACTTTTCTATTAGTCCAGCTCCTGACCCATAGAGGGATGGAGAGAGGGTGAAGGCTTTTAAATTGTATTTAAGTCTAGGTTCAGGAAACAAACAGCATATTCTAACCCCAGTTGCTGCATAATATAGCTATCAAATGAGTAGTTTTTGAAGCAGTTTCAGAATTGTAAAGCTGCCAACTGAAACAGGTGGGTAACTAATGTCAGAGAGTAAACGGATAGAAGCAGGAGAAGGAGCTGCTAATAAAGAAACAGCTTTTAATATTTACATGGTCATATATCAGCATCATACTGTACTATACAGGTGTATTATATGCAAACACTGTATACAAAAGGGTTGTTTACAATAAAACAACTGATTTATTATCTGAGTAATTAAAAACAATCCCCTTCATTGGTTGTTAATGATTAAGGGCACCTATAATTCTCTCTGTGAATTATTATTATGGGGCCTTCTGCCACTCTACCCCCACCCTCTGCAACGCCATCCCACAGTCCCTGCGCCTCGCCCCCTCCCTTGCCACCTTCAAGACCCATCTCAAGACCCTCCTCTTCGACCGTGCTTTCGAGCTCCTTGCTTCCTCGCCTGACCTCCACCCTCCCCGATCCCAACCCCCAGCTCAGATCCGTAACTGTCTGTGCAGCGCCTTGGGACATCCTCCCAACGTGAAAGGCTCTATACAAATGTAATTTCGTTGTTGTTGTTGTGGGCAAGTATTTACACATAGTTTAATAATATACATAATGCCTCTGATCGATGGGTGTAAACGTCAAAGGAAAAGCCTTTGCTCATACCAGCATTTAACATCTGTCTTTTTTGTGTGTATTTTAAGATGGATGAAATAAAATCTAAAGACAGAACCATCTTTTCACTGGAGAAGGACCTAGAGGTGCAGGCAGGATATGCACAGAAGCTCCAGCTGCAGAAGGAGGCTCTGGATGAGCAGCTCTTCCTTGTGAAGGAGGCAGAATGTAACATGATCATGAGCAGCCCCAAGCGGGAGGTGCCAGGCAGTGCACGGGATGGCATGGACCACCCAGGCAGTCCGGTGAGCACCACAAACGCAGAGCATTGTCTGAATCTAAGCTGCTTTCACAAGACACAAGTAGAGATTAAATATCTAACGCCTGAAATTTTAATAGCCTTGAAGACATCGTCATAAACATTAAGATTATAGAGAATTATAGAATCATAGAATTATACAGCACATAAGGAGGCCATTTGGCCCATCATGTTTGTGCCGGCTCTTAAAAGAGGGCAGTACTATACAAATCAATCCCATTCCCCCGCTCTCTCCCCACAGTCCTACAGACTTGTCCTCCCCAAATGATTATCTACTTCTCTCTTAAAAGTTGTTAGCGAATTAACTTCCACCACCCTTTCAGGCAAAGCATTCCAGATCCGAACTACTCGCTGTGTGAAGAAAATGTCTCCTCACCTCCCCTCTGTTTGTTTTAAATCAGTACCCTCGGGTTACTGACCCACCCGCCAGTGGAAATAGTTTCTCCTTGTTCACCCTATCAAGTTCCCTCACCATTTTGAAAACTTCTTTTCAGTCCTCTCTTAATCTTCTCTGCTCCAAGGAGAATAATCCTAGCCTGTCTAGCTTCTCCTCATAACTGAAGTTCCTCATTCCTGGTACTATCCTGGTAAATCTCCTCTGCATCCTCTCCAGTGCCTTGACATCTTTCCTAAAATGTGGTGCTCAGAACTGAACACAGTACTCTTCCTGAGGCCTAACCAGTGTTTTATAAAAGTTCAGCATAACTTCCTGACTTTTGTATTCTATGCCCTTATTTATAAAGCCTACTATCCTGTATGCTTTTTACCTACAGCTTTATCTACCTGTCTGCCACCTACAAAGATTTACTTATATGAACCCCCAGGTCTCTCTGTTCCTGCACTCTCTTTAAGATTGTACCATCAGCTTATATTGCCTCTCCTCATTCTTCCTTCCAAAATACATCACTTTGCATTTCTCCACATTAAGCTTCATCTGCCACGTGTCTGCCCATGTTACCAGTCTGTCTATGTCCATTTGCAGTCTGCTACTATCCTCCTCACTGTTTATTACTTTTCCTAGTTTAGTATCATCTGCAAACTTGGAAATTGTACTCCCTATACCCAAGTCCAGGTCATTTATATAGAGCAAAAACAGCAGTGGTCCCAATACTGACCCCTGGGGGATCCCATTGCACACCAGTCACCATCTCTCTCTACTTTCTGTCTCCCAGCCAGTTCTGTGTCCATGCTGCCACTGTCCCTTTAATACCGTGGGCTTCTATTTTGGTTACAAGTCTCTTATGTGGCACTTTATCAAACGCCTTTTGAAAATCCATATAAACTACATCAACTGCATTACCTTCATCCACCCTCTCCGTTACTTCATCAAAAACTCTTATCAGGTTTGTTAGACACGATTTGCCTTTAACAAATCCATGTTGGCTGTCCTTTATTAACCCATATTTTCTTAAGTGAAAATTTATTTTGTCCCGGATTATAGTCTCTAGAAGTTTTCCCACTCCTGACGTTAGGCTGACTGGCCTGTAGTTCCCGGGTTCATCCTTCTGCCCCTTTTGTACAAGGGAGTAACATTCCATCCTTCCAGTCCTCTGGCACCACCCCAGTGTCCAAGGATTGAAAGATTGTGGCCAGAGCTTCCACTATTTCTACCCTTACTTCCCTCAGTAACTCAGGATGCATCTCGTCTGGACCGGGTGACTTATCTACCTTGAGCACCTTTTGAGTGCCTCTTCTCTATTTATTCTTATCCTATCCAATGTCTCTACCCTCTCCCCTGATACTGTGGCATTTTCTGCATCCTCTTCTTTTGTGAAGAGAGATGCAAAGTACTCATTCAGTACATCAGCCATGCCCTCTGCCTCCACAAAACGATTTCCTCTTTTGCCCCTAATGGGCCCCACCCTACCTTTGACTAACCTTTTATTCTTTATATGCTTATAAAATACCTTACCTTCTCCCCCATGTCTGCGCCATGACCGGCATTGCCTACCACCACCTCCGCAACATTGACAGATTCTGCCACTGCCTCACCCCTCAGGCTGCCGAAACCCTTATCCACCCATTTGTCACATCAAGGCTCGATTCTAGAAATTTGCTTCTCCTCGGCCTTCCCAACTCTTCCCTTCACAAGCTGCAGATCATCCAAAACTCTGCAGCTCATGTACTCTCGCTCACCAGGTTCCGTGACCCCATCACTCCCACCCTCGCCCGACTCCACTGGCTCCCCATCCCTCAGAGGATCGAATTCAAGATCCTCGTCCTCACTTTCAAGGCCATCTGTGGCCTTGCCCCCTCCTACCTCTCTGATCAGCTGACTCCCTGCCAACCTGTCTGCTCACTCCATTCATCAGGCTCCGGCCTGCTCCATGTCTCCCTGCCCTACCATCGATGGCTGGGCTTTCAGCCTCTCTGCCCCCACACTCTGGAATTCCATCTCACGGTCCCTTCGCCTCGCTTCCTCCCTTGCCTCTTTCAAGGCCGGTCTCAAGACCCTTCTCGTCGATCGTGCCTTCAGTCACCCTCACACCTCTCTGCCTTCCCCCACCCCTTCCCCATGCTCGGATCCTGTCCCGACTGTCCAGTACCTTGGGATGTCCTCCCGACGTGAAAGGCGCTCTATAAATTTAATTTTGTTGTTGTTGTTTACGGTTCCCTTTTATGTTACCCACTAATCTTTTTTCATGCAATCTCTTTGCGCCTCTTATTTCCTTTTTTCAGTTCTCCTCTGTACTTTCTATGTTCTATTTGATTAGCTTCTGTATTTTGGACCTGACATTTATCATAAGCCACCTTTTTCTGTTTTATTTTAATCCCAATTTCCTCAATCATCCAGGGAGGTTTGGATGCCCTACCTTTCCCTTTTGTGGGAATGTATTTGTTCTGTGCCCAAACTATCTCCTTGAAGATTTTTCCATTGCTTGTTAGTTGTTTTACCTGCCAATTTTTCTTTCCAGTCCATCTTGGCTAGGTCCCTTTTTAAATCACTGAAATTATACCTCTTCTAGTTGAGTATCTTCACCTTTGATTGTTCCTTGTCCCTTTCCATAAGTACTCTAAACCTAATGATGTTGTGATCATTGTTGTCCAGTTCCTCTCCTACTGAAACCTGCTCCACTTCATTCCCCAGAAGTAATTCCAAAACTGCTTCCTTCCCCATTGAGCTGGAAACATACTGATCCAGAAAATTATCCTGCGCACATTTCAGGAATCCTCCCCCTCCTTGCTCTTCACACCGTTATTTTCCCAGTCTATGTTAGGATAATTGAAGTCCCCCATTAGCACTACTCTATTGGTTTTGTATCTTTCTGAAAGCTGCTTGCAGATTTGGTCATTTATCTCCTTCCCGCTATTTGGTGATCTATAGTGAACACTTAACAGAGTAACAGCTCCTTTTCTGTTCCTTAACTCTAACCAAATAGATTTTCTTTTTGGACCTTCTAACACATTGTCCCTTTTCAGGGCCGTAACTGTATCTTTAATCAATATTGCCACTCCCTCCCTTTTTTCCTTCCTTGACCCTCCTGAATGCATTGTAGTCAGGAATATTCAACTCCCATTCCTGCCCTTGTTTGAGCCAGGACTCCATTATTGTCACTACATCATAACCCCATGTGGTAACTTGAGCCGCAGCTCACAATCTTATTTGTCACACTCCGTGTATTTACGCACATGCACTCCAAGACCAATTTAGTCTGTGCTGCATTTCTCCCCCATCTAATCCCTCCTTTTTCTGGATTATTGCTTTGCTATTCGTCTCTCCCATCCCTCTATGTAACTTGATTGCCCTCTCGAATGCTACATCCTGATTCCCTTCCCCACAGCACTAGTTAACCACCCTGTAAGGACATTGGTGCCAGCCCTGTTCAGGTGTAACCCATCCACCTTGTACAGGTCCCACCTGCGCCCAAAAATGGTCCCAATGATCCAGGAACCTGATGCCCTCCTTTCTGCACCATTTCTCCAGCCATGCATTCATGTGTTTGATCCTGCTGGTTTGACACTCTCTTGCACAAGGCATTGGGAGTAATCCAGAGATCACCACCTTTGAGGTCCTACTCTTTAGCTTTTTCCCAGCTTCTGATACTCTCCATATAGGATTTCAGACCATTTTTCCCCTATGTCATGGATTCCAACATGCACCATGACTTCTGGATATTCCCCTTCCCCCTATAGAACATTTGCACCCGTTCCATGATGTCTTCAACCCTGGCACAAGGGAGGCAACATACCATGTGAGAGTCATGTGTTTGGTTGCAGAAACCCCTGTCTACTCCTTTCACCGTTGTGTCCCCAATGACAGTTGCATTAAAACTCTTCCCTGTGTCCCCCTGTGCATCCATTTGCTTTTGACTCTTCTCCCCAGAGGTTTCATCACCCTGACCGGTATTCAGTACAGAGAACCAGTTTGTGAATGCCACACTCTCAGGGGATTTCTGTACTGCCCGTCACCTCTTCCTACCAGGCCAGGTGGTCACCCACTCACTCACCTTCTGAACCCTCTGTGGCTATGGGATGACCATCTCCTGAAACATTTGATCCCTGAACTCTTCAGCCTCCCGTATGCTATGTAGTGACACCAACCTTTCCTCAAGCTCAGAAACTCTGAGCTGCAGCTTGAGCAGCTGGAGGCACTTCCTACACACGTGTGTCCAGGGCACACAAAGCACACAAAGCATCCTGGAGTTCCACATAGCACCCATTGTGCAGGCAACCGGTCTCAGCTGCCCTGCCATATTCCCAGACATGTTTTACATTATTTTATAATTTAATATGAATATATATATTTTATAATTATGCATCTCTCTCACTCTCTGTTCTGTCCTCACTCAGGTACATCCTTGCTCTGCTGGGCTCTCTGCTCCCAGCAGAACGAAGTAAAGTGTTTTTTGTCAGCTGGGTGTCAGACACATGCGGATACCCTTTCACCATGCTTAAGAATATCCAAACCAAGCAGAGTTCCACGTTTCCCACCTACACATGGAAATTCCAACGATATTTATTTGAATGGAGTGTGAACTCTCTCCCTACAGGAACACATCCTGCTTACCTAATTCCAGAAAGTATAGAACTGTGGACTTTTCTCACCCTCCAAATATATGTCAATCACATAATTTCCAATTGCACAACATTCTGTGATTAAAAAGATCACAATATACACTAACTCTAGTTATGTATCCTCACCAGATGTTTTGCCTTATTGTGAACAAGTTTTTTTTAGCATTGCCCTCTGAGTTGGAGCAATAATCATAATCCTTACATTTGGTATGGTACCTTTTCATGTCAGGAGGATGCCCCAAAGCGAAGCGAAGTGTGTGTTTTGTGGGCAAACATAGCTTCCTGTCCTCAGTCCTTACTTTGCAATACAATATTTCATGTAACTTTTCTGATTCACAGGATTTACGGAGAAACCAACGCAAAGTAGCAGACCTTAATTCAACCATTCGCAAGCTGGAAGACAGGAACACATTGCTGGTGGATGAAAGGAATGAACTGGTGATTATCACATAATATCTCAATTGTGCTTGACATGTAAATAATAATAATAATTAAATAATAATAATATAATAAAATAATAATAATGATAATAATCCTTGCATTTGATATAGCACTTTCCACGTCTTCTAGACGTCTCAAAGCGCTTCACAGAATATGCTGTAAAGTGAATTGATTGTATATTTGTGGGCGAAACGCGGCAGCCAATTACGCACAGCAGTGTCCCACAAACAGTCGTGGATTGAAAATGACCAATTTATTATTGTTTTTTTGTTTTGGAGGGATTATTATTAGGCTCTGTGTGGAGTAAGGAAACTTGCCCAAGGCTTTGCCCTCTGCCTGGAATTGAACCCAGGTGTCTCACTTGCAAGGCGAGTGCTCTAACCACTGAGCTACAAAACTTGAATATTGTCAAGTGTAGTCAATAGTTCTTTTTGAGGGCAAACACAGCAGCCATTTACCCCACAAAACAAACATGAGGTGAATAATCAATTAGTCTGGACACTGGAAAAAAATCCCTTCTCTTTTCAAATAGTGCCATACCATGTGTTCTTTATCATCCTCCTAAACAGGTGTATATGTTTCATGTTTCATCTGTAAAATGGTACTTCTTATAATTTAGCACTCCCCCAGTATGGTACTGAAGTATCATCCTAGACTATAATAATAATAATAATCCTGCATTTGATATAGCGCCTTTTCACATATTTGAGACGTCTCAAAACACTTCACAGAATACACTGTAAAGTATGTATATTTTTGTGGGTTATAGATGAAACCAGGTAATATCAAGAAATATTGTTTAGCTTTCTGAGCTCTGTATTTTGCAGGCTTTTAAAAGATATAAAATATTGGTGGTAAGAGAAAACAACAGAATTTAACTATGACTACAGCAGGTACTGACATGGATTGGTGGACATTCTATCATTCCCCTGGGCAGTTACCTGTACCTAATGAATTACTACCTAGAAAATAATACTCATTTGACTTGGGATTGTCTTTAATGCGACAAAGTGGGGAATCTTTTATTGATGCCATGCAGCTTGTTTTACAGGAAAGAATATTAATATTAATAAATATTGATATCAATTTAGACTATGACCTTAAATCCTGACATGGACTTGCCCACAACCCCTCTGACTCCGAGGGTGAGAGTGCTGCCAAATAAACAAGGCTGAGTTTATACTCGTTAATCTCACAATAAAATCCAGTTGTTGGCTTATGCTAGCGAACCTTTTTTGTATCTTCCTTGTGGGATGTTTTAATGTGGATTGAAAAGCACACTAGCATGAGACAACAGAGCATGTTTTACCCTACAAATGGTGTCAGATCAGTGTATGAAAAGCTGGCATTGGAATGAACAGGAGGAGCAAGGCCCCACGTGAGCAATGAGGCAAATATTTCATTGACTTAATCCACCACAGAATCACTCAAGGGAATTATATGTCCACTGCACTCAATGGTTCTAAATGTCTTATCATTTATAAATTTCATTGAAACCAACAGCCTTGGGAATAAATGTACAAATTAAATCTGAATTCTACGGCTTTTTTTAATTCACAATTTAGGTTGTCAGTGAAACATAACTTGTTTTTAGCTCTTACCTTGCACGTAGAAATATTGAGATTCTTCCATCACAATCAGCATCAGTACTAGTCTGCTTCCGAACACTGATGTAATAGTGTTTTGGTTGTATTGAAGTATATTGGCTGAATTTGCTCAATCACTATAACAGGTTATTGATTCAAAGAGCCCTATGGGACCACAAGTTGACAGCGCTGAGCATTTGGAACTATGTGTAGTGCCTCAGGACATGTTGCTGGTGTGTGGCATCTGGTAAGAAAACAAGAGGTCAAGCTAAATTAACTTTAATTCATGTTTCCCCAGCTGAAGCGAATCCGCGAAGCTGAAAAACAATATAAACCTCTCCTGGAAAAGAACAAGTGCCTCAGCAAGAGAAATGATGACTTGACTCAGTCCTTGCAGCGGATGGAGGAGAAACTCAAATCACTGACCAGAGAGAATGCTGAGATGGTAATTTCAGACACTTACACTTGCTTCACCTCTGTACAATTATAAAAACTAATTACAAGATGGCTATATGATTATATGACTATCCACGTATCCCCAATAACAATAATAATAATCCTTGCATTTGATACGGTGCCTTATCACGTCGTCGAGACGTCTCAAAGCGCTTCACAGAATATGTAGTGACTGTGTATTTTGTGGGCGAAACGCAGCAGCCAATTGCATGCAAAGGTGACCCACAAAAAGTCGTGGATTGAATGTCCAGTTTATTACAGTGTTTTTTTGGGGGAGGAATTATTATTCCCTGGAAAGCAATCCGCCAATCGATTAACATGCAGATTCCTACTTACTGCAAGGTAAACAGAAGTGTGTGTGGAGTAAGAAAACTTGCTTAAGGTTATACCCTGACCTGACCTACCCGGGAATAGAACCCAGGTCCTCTCGCTTGCGAGGTGAGCGCTCTAACCACTACGTTACAGAACTCCACGATTACCCCAAATTATTGAGCCCAAAACACATATGGTTTGGTGTTCGTAAAGCCTATCAGGCCCATGAACTCCAAAAGAAGACTTTTGGAGGCTGTATATGATTACCTAATTCCTCTTTATTTCTGTTTAAAGTCTTCTTTATTTGGAGTCCTGAAGCATATTGGTTAGAGCACTCGCCTCGCAGATGAGAGGATCTGGGTTCAATTCCCGGGCAGGGTAAAACATTAGGCAAGTTTCTTTACTCCACACATCTCTGTTTTCCTAGCAGTAAGTAGAAACCGGGTTGTTAGTTGATTGGTGGATTGCTTTTCTGGGGGTAATAATCCCTCCAAATAAATAAATAAACAAATAAATAATTTGGTCACTCAATCTACAACTGTTTGTCGAAACTGCTGTGCGCAATTGACTGTCGCGTTTCGCCCACAAAATCTACAGTCAATTCACTTTACAGTATATTCTGTGAAGTGCTTTGAGACATCTCGAAGACGTGATAAAACACTATATCAAATGCAAAGTTTATTATTATTATTTCGCCCTTGGAGAGTCTTACTTGATCTGGTCCTCACTTGGCATTCACGTACATAACACCTTAGGAGTCCTTAGATAGTGATCAGGAGCAGGAATTCTGGATCTGCAGTTGATGCAACTTCTGTTACTCAAGGCCAATGACAGTAATTTGGAGTCCTGTAGCTCAGTGGTTAGAGCACTCGCTTTGCAAGCGAGAGACCTGAGTTCAATTCCAGGCAGAGGGCGAAACCTTGGGCAAGTTTCCTTACTCCACACAGAGCCTAATAATAATCCCTCCAAAACCAAAAACAATAATAAATTGGTCATTTTCAATCTACGACTGTTTGTGGGACATTGCTGTGCGCAATTGGCTGCCGCGTTCGCCCACAATTATACAGTCAATTCACTTTACAGTGTGTTCTGTGAAGCGCTTTGGGACGTCCTCCCGACGTTAAAAGCGCTATATCAAATGCAAGGATTATTATTATTATTATTATTATTATTGTGCCGTACCAACACCTTGGCTGAGATCAGCCACACAGCACAGAAGGGTGATCAGTACTGCCATTTCTGGGTCACTCAGCCTGAGTTTCACTCTGGGCAGCAGCTTTTGTTTACAGTTTATTGAAAGCTATAATAATAATTACAGTGGTTTAGGCAGAGAGCTAAATTCCTCATGCAGTTGGTAAATATTTATCGGTGAAACTAGAGTAACATTAGATGCTAAGCATCTACCATTTCCCTCCAATGTGCATTGAAATTGGTGCTTTGGGACAGGAGAATGATTACCTGTAAATAGCCTGATGGAATAATCCAGATTAGTGCTTCTTGAATTATACCCTACCTACCTGCCTACCTACCTACCGTTCCTCTGGCTCTGGTCTGCTCCACGTCCCCCGCCCCAACCGCCCTACCATCGGTGGCCGGGCCTTCAGCCTCTCAGCCCCCAGGCTCTGGAACTCCATCCCCCAGTGCCTTCGCCGCCTCCTCCCTCCTCCTTCAAGGCCGGTCTCAAAACCTTTCTCTTCGACCGTGCCTTCAGCTCCCCTCTCGACTCTCTTCCCCCTCCTCGCTCCCTCCCTTCCCTCCCCTCACCCTGACCATTTCCCCCCTCCTTGCTCCCTCCCTCCCTTCCCTCCCCTCACCCTCACCATTTCCCCCCTCCTCGCTCCCTCCCTTCCCTCCCCTCACCCTGACCATTTCCCCCCTCCTCGCTCCCTCCCTCCCCTCACCCTGACCATTTCCCCCCTCCTTGCTCCCTCCCTTCCCACCACTCACCCTCACCATTTCCCCCCTCCTCGCTCCCTCCCTTCCCTCTCCTCACCCTGACCATTTCCCCCCTCCTTGCTCCCTCCCTTCCCTCCCCTCACCCTGACCATTTCCCCCCTGCTCGGGTCATGACCCAACTGTGCAGCGCCTTGGGACGTCCTCCTGACGTGAAAGGCGCTTTATAAATGGAATCTTGTCGTTGTTGTTGTTGATGTGTCACTGTGATTAACAATTGCAACCGGTTATGAAAATGCAGAGAAACAGTGAAGGATTGCTTTACTAAAAAAATGTTCTGATCACTCATCACATTAAGTGTTGGTTTTGTGACAGGTGTGATATTTTGTTTTACTAAAGGGCAATCATACTCTTTTAATGTTGTGTATGAAAGCCTTGTTGACACTGAGGCAAAATGTTCTCTAATGGCCTTAGCTACATGTTACCGATGTGAATTTGCCTTTTAACCTTTTCTTCATGCTTCAACAATCAACTATTTGCTTGTTTGCCAAACATCATAGGATGAAACCTTTGTCCCCACAGCTCTCCTTTTCAGCTGCTTTGCCACTTATGTAACAACAAGGTTTGCTTACGCCATGATTTGAGCTTTTTGCTTGAAAGAATATGCACTTTTATAGCACCTTTAAAAATCTTTCTCAGGGACAGCTCAAAGTGCTTCACAGATAATTACTGTCAAGCGAATGTTTTATTGGAAAGAATGCCAGCTTAGACTAAGAGCTCAATTCCCAATGTAGTGCTTGAACTCACAACCTCTGAACCAAAGGCGAGAGTGGTACCCAATTCTAGCCCTCCTCCCCCCATAACCAATGTTTTCAATGAATTGAGATATATGACTGAGGGGGAGAATGTTTGCTCTGTTCCACGAATCATCCTGGAGTCTACAAGTGATCATCAGATACAGAGCAAAAGAACCAGCCCAAACTTATTTTTAGAAAGTGACACAAATTAAGCCTAAACAAACAAACAAATTCAGGTTCCCTGATGGCTTCATATGTCATTTTCTATTTGGCCAAAGCTAAGAAAGGTCTTTCCAGGTCAATATGAACTAAAAGTCAAAAGTCACTTCATCCAAATGCCTCTTTTTTACTATTTTTCATCATAGAAAGACAAGATTGGCTTGCACCCACCTCTAAAAAAATTACGCTCCTTGAACGACCTGGACCAGGCCCATGAAGAGCAAGAAATAGAATTTTTAAAACTTCAGGTTCTCGAACAGCAGAATATCATCGATGACTTGACGAGGGTGAGTGAGCCCTCACTGCTGTGCTGCTTTGTGATATTCCACATGCAGTTTTATTGTAAATGTTCTAACCGAGGCCCCAACTTTCACCTTGTCTTAGTCCATAAAATATTTTGTCGTAATATTTATAACAATTGATAAAAATTCCTGGATTCAGTCTTAATTTTTTAAGGCATTTCTTACGAAGGACCGGTTCCAAATGAACTTTTTAATTTAACTAGTTTTAAAATTTTAAGACAAAATGATCTTACAGGCTAAGAGTTGGTGGAATTTCATGCCTTAATCGGTCAGTAAGGGCAAGCGGGCAGTTGTCCTCTACACCTCCCAATCGCCAGAAGTTAGATGCAAAAACACTTATCCCAAATACTAAGGAATTGATTTGATGGAGTAGGAATTGTATTTTTCACTTGTCCATTCACTTAATATTGGTGTGTGTGTGTGAATCATATGTGCAAGTGAAAAATCCTTTAAGGGTTTAAGTGGTATTTCCATATTGAATATATTGCAGCAATATCAAAAATTAGGAAGGCAGCTTTTCTCACTTATGTCTACACTTGCGTTTTAACCCTTATCGGTGGAAGTTGACTCCAATTATTTTAACAGATAGCATATTGTTCATTTTGAACAATATAAAAACTCTTCACTTTTCCCAGGGTTAAAAACTGAAGATATAACAGCCTCTGAAGTGTTGGTGTGCACCAGGCACTGTATCAACCACAATATTGATGTCTAGCTTACTAGATTGGTAAAAGGATTAGTAAATAATGAATCCCACATTTTGCAGCTGATACCCTGGAACTCACACATTGACTTTACATGAGTCAGAGCTAAGGATCGGTGTCTGAGCAGAGCTCCTGGGATGAGCTCATGAGATTTTAGATTGCCATTTATAAATTCTTTCGCCAATCTCACAAATGTCAAAGTGGGGCAGAACTGCCTAGAGGATGGTGTTTGTGGATATTAAGCTGTATATTTGTTCTGTTTGTTTTTGCCTGAGAAAAGACCCTAAACACTTCTGATGCGGTGTTGCCCACATCACCACTATGTTTCACGTTTCCCCGTTTTATAGGACCGAGAAAGATTGCTGCGTCGCAAGAGGCACAGAAGAAGTACAAAGCATATCAAGGTAATTAACGCGAGTTGATATTGGGCAACACAATGGTAAGATTGTCTGAAGAGTTGAACAGTTTATGTCGTCCCCTGGAAACAATTGGCAGTTATATGTGCCTCTTCCCTTTCCACCCACCCACTATGCACTGAGAGAATGTAATTCACACCTAGGATAGGTACACAACTACGCCATATCCCTTATTTTCTTCTTTCTTTTCCACGCAGTAGAATTCTAAGGAATAATCTGGACAGAATGATGGGAAATATCTTTAAAAGCAAATCTCCAAAATTAGTTTTAATCTCTCTCCTAAAAGTGAGCAGGGAGCTAGCCTCTCATTCACTCCTCCATTCCAAAAAAAAAATCTAATCCCTGTAGTAGCAGCATCAAGTGCTCCACACGGCTGGTGTATTTGCTTGATGCAAAACACAAAAAAACCTGCATGACCTGATTTCCTACGAATTTCAGACTCTCGTCACAGATGCTGTACGTGCTGGTCGTGTAAGCCTGCTTTGCTCTCATTCACAGCAATAGAAAGCAATACCATATCTGTGTGCCTTTAATGTCTAACTTACTGAAATATACCCAGTGCCTAGAGGTTCATTGCAGATTTATGCACAGATAGTTTTTCTTTTATTCATTTGCTTAGAAAGAGGTGGAGAATGGAGCGTTTCACTTATTTGGGATGTGTTTTTGTTATCCACATAGAGGCACGTGGTGGAGACGTGTTTTGGATTCGATGAAGAATCAATGGATTCAGAAACCTCATCCTTGGCTTCATACAGAACGGACAGAACCCCAGCAACACCAGAGGACGACTTGAACGAAGTGAGTAAACTGCATAAAACAAAACGAGTTATGAGAGTCAAGGACTGAAAGGAACGTTTTATTTATAGTTCACAACAGTCAGCCACAGAGGACACAATGGCCAACTCAGACTGACTGACTCAAGAAATTAGGTCATATCAAGTCATATAAACTCAAGACTGCCCCTGGCCCAAGTTACTCCTGAAAGTCTACCACAGTATATTCTGTGAAGCGCTTTGAGACGTCTCAAAGATGTGATAAGGTGCTATATCAAATACAAAGAGTATTATTATTATAAATTTCTCCCCTTCTCCCACTGCAAAAAGAGGAATGTCGCACAGTTACTGTTTTGGCCTAAAAGGAGGAACCCGAACACTGTGCAGGCCTCTTTATTCTGGTAATAACTAAATTTTAACTGGCATCTCAATCCATTTCCTACTGGGGTTATGGGGTACAAAATGCTCAGTTTGGAGATTTGGGTCACAAGCTTCCAGGACCCTGTTAAAGGTACTATCTTAATCCATTCGAAATTGGTACCTTGTATCATATGTGAGGTGATACTTGTTGTATAATTCATCCAAAATGACATAGTCTCTTACACAGGATACTATCAATATGAAATTGAGGCTGTTTTATCATTTAAAAGATCAGAACTTCACTGACCTGCATGAAATACTAACAACAGTCAGTGAATCACAGCCAATCTGAAGGTTCAGCTGACAGACAGCACTGAAGCTTAGATCATCTTAGATCATCTACAGTAAACTCCTGATGACTCTGTTAACCTGTCACTACCTCTTGAGTCATCATCCTGTTAACAACAACAACAACAAATTAAATTTATATAGTGTCTTTCATGTCGGGAGGACATCCCAAGGTGCTGGACAGTCAATGATTTGTACAAAAGCTGGGGGTTGGGATCAGGAGAGTTGGAGAGCAGGAAGTTTGGGAGTAGGAAGGTGCCTGAAGGCAAGGTCAAGGAGTAAGGTCTTGAGACGGACCTTGAAGCAGGCAAGGGAGGGGGCAAACAGGCAAAGGGACTGTGGGATGCAGTTCCTAAGGATCAATGTCCTACCCGCATTTATTTATGCCTAACTCACCACTCGGGTCACTGAGCCCTTTTCCCTTGGAACGATGATTTATCAGGAGTTTACTGAATACATTTGTAGGACATTGCTATGCAAATTAGCTGACTTATTTGCTGCAAATACAGTCACTACACTTCACAGTAAAATCCTATGAAACACTTTAAGACATTTCAACAGCCTGATAAGTCAATTGCAAAGATTATTTTATACTTTAAGCACAGTTTCAGCCCCACTGAGAAGTTGTGGAGTTTTCATTCAATTTTGTGTGCTGTGAAACTAATGCGTTAATGAGTTATAAAACACTTGCTTGAGGTGCTGAACAATGTAAGATACCTCACACCATTCTGGGACATGTACCAGGGTCTAAAATATAACTCGAAAAACAAGCCTAATTTTAAACATAAAATTGACTTTGTTTCAGACTTGGCTATCTCTCGCTATGCCATAAGAAGGGCACGATATAAATGTAAATTGTTGTTGATTATGCTGTTGTCATCATTGGAATTACCTGAGCACTTACCCCAGTATTTTTTGTTCTTTTGTTCAATTGTTAATTTCTATCCTGAAGGAGTGGGCTTTATTTTACTTGATCACAAGTGAAACAGCAGTTTGGGCTTGCTTTCAGAAACTGGGGTTAGAAAACAGTTTATTAAACTTTGCTGTCATTACCGCTGTTCTTAAATCAGAGGAACTGCTAAGTAATGCAATCAACCTGTAATTTAAGATTATCACGTAAGATGAGGGGTCAGCCTTGCTCACTTGGTAACTAACACTCTCACCTCTGTGACAGAAGATTGTGAGTTCAAGCCATCAGTTAGGATATCGAGTTGAGGCTGGCACTCTAATTCAGTGCTGGTGGGTGTAGGGTGAGCACTGCCTTGAGGCAAGTGCTGTCCTTCAGATGAGACGTTAAACAGAGATCCCATCTACCTGTTCAGGTGAAATTTAAAGATCCCGTGGCACTATTTGAAAAGAAAAAGGAGTTTGTCCCAGTGTCCTGGCCAACAGTCTCCCAGCTACAATTGGATGTTCACTTCTTGGCTGTTTGTAGGATTTTGCTGCGCAAATTGGCTGCCACTTTCACCTTCTCAAATACACAATTTACAGTAAAATCCTATGAAGCTCTTTCAGGTGTCTAGACTAAATGATAAGTTGCTATTATTAAATGCAAGGATTATTATTATTATCCCGACATATAAAAGATCCTATCATATTCAAAATGTGCAGCACTCTCTGGTGACAGTCCTGTATTTAATACTTAAGCCTCAAAGTGAATTTGTCTTCATTGGCACGAAATGCCTCATGTTCTTATTCTTAAAACCAGTGTCTTAACATTCAAGATTGCATTAAATTTTGAAACGTTCTTAAAATCAGTCGTAATTTAAAAGCTGTTTTTCCATAGTCCTTAACAAGAAGTTGCCAAATACATCCAGACCCCAGTGTGTATTATATCCTCTGCCCCAGAAAATAGCTTAACATAATGCTAAGTACAGACAATGAAGTGAAGTATCTTTTCCAGGTCACTTCCACATTCCTCAATAATTGTTAGCTTCTGCCCTCTCTGACAAAATGTGTTCTCACTAATCATTGCTTTACAGCTAGTTGACTCATATAAAAAACAATCACATGACTCACGATTTATCAATGACTGGCAGACAGCGGTATTTCTGTAGCATTTCCATCTTATTTCATAAAATGACTTGTAGAACATTTCTTATTGTATATACTTGATAACAACATTTGAGGAGTCTTGTAGAAACAATCGAGATAAGGTAGGGTTCTTCAGCCTTGAAAAGACAGGTATCAGAGGGTGTTTTATGGAGATATCTGAAATGTTAAATGAAATGTAGAAAATTAACCCAGAACGGTAGCTTCAGATCCGTTATGGCAGCAAGATAAGAGGGTATAGATTCAGAGGTGTGAAGGACAATTACAGAATGGATAACACAATGTGACTCTCTGGGACACTACCCTGTGTGAGGGGCACTATATAAATGCAAGTTGTTGTTGTTACACCAGGGGTGGTGGGGGAGGGATGGTGGGGTATTGATGGCTAGAACAGGTTATCAGGAAAGATGGATGATACCATGTTGCTGGTCTCCTGCAAGAAACAGGGTGATTTTATGCTGAGAAGATGTAAACGTGGACATTCTGAAAGGATGATTTCAAATGAAAGCGTTCACATCCAAATTGCTCTTGTAACGTTTTGAAATGTAGGACACGCTTTTCAGGGGGCATTTTATGTGTATTAACAAAACAATGGATTGTACAAAGTGACTTCTGATGGCTGTAATGCTTTTGTAGTTTAAAGGTTGCTCTAATCGTGGTACCGAGCAAAAGGCTGATTCACGTTCTATTCACTTTAAGAGTTTGGCAGCAGAAGAATCTGAACTACGTTTCAGGCAGTTAACGAGGGAGTACCAGGCTATGCAGAGGGCGTACGCACTACTACAGGAGCAGACCGGAGGCATCCTGGATGCTGAACGTGAAGCAAAGGTGAAAAAGTTGCTTTTGTTCTATAATCTGTGTGATCATCCATTCTTATGCTTAAGTTCTAGAACCTTAAATCCTTTCATAAGTACAGTGCATATCCGATTGTAATTAACTGTTGCATTAAGTACATTCGCAAGTAGCTTATTCTGCAAAGCTGCTCATCTGTGGGAATAGGGGAATAAAATTTGAGGGAAACTAAAAGAATTAATAATTTTTCATACTTCTACACTTGCCAATTTTTGTATTTTATCTACAATGCTTACAAACCCCACTTTAGGAAAAGTAATCCGCTTTGCTCTTTTTTATCAGTATTTGCACTGCTATCAATTATGTTACTTTAATTGCTGACCTTGACCCACTGAGATCTATACCCTACGTTTAAAGTGCAATTATTTTTTCTTTTAATACATCATCACGTTTTTGATTTAAATAGTCATGATATTTTTAGGGACAGTGGTCATTTCATCTGGAAAATTTTAATTATTAATACATTTTAAAATAGAAAAATCAAGTCAGTGGTGAGGGTGGTTTGCTGGGCCCCGACACTTTGTTTGACTTGACATTTATGCAAAGTTATGTTAACCCAAGTCACAGTGTTTGGCCCCAGATAAAAATAAGGTCACATTGAGGTTTAAATTGTGATGATTCATAATAGGATTCCTTAATAATGACTCCGGAATAGGGACTTCTTCCAGACACATGTCACTCTGCGCCAGAACACTTTGCGATTGTTTTGGAGTCGCATCATGTGGTTTGACATGACACACTTTCATAGTTGAAATCTACAGCACAGAAGGGCTTTCGGCCCATCATGTCTTGCTGGCTTTTTTAAGAGCAATCCTTTCAGTCCAATTAACCTCCCCTTTCCCCACATCCCCCTAGCTTACTCTGTTGTAGCTATTTCTCTATTTCCCTTTTATTGATTTAATTGGTAACTATCTTATCTTTACTCACTGGCTCACCAACTATGGAAACAATTTCTGCCTTTTGACTATCAAAACTCCTCATAATTTTAAAGACATCTATTAGGTCATCATTCAACTTTCTTTGTTCCAGCAGAATATGCCCCACTTTTCCAGTCTCTGCTCACAGGCCAAACCACTCAGAATGGTGTGTTTCTTGGAGATTATCTTGATGTGGTGACAACTTGGAAATGAAATTAATCCCCTCGTGTGGCTTTAAATTATATTTGTTGAAAATCTAGCTTACTCAAGATAGTAATACAAAATTCATTCTTACTGTGTCTCAAGTTCTATATTTAGGAAAACGTGCTTTAAATTTTAGTTCCTATTTCCGCACTTGTAAATCATTGATTCCAAGTAGCATGAGACTATTTTCTTGATGTCAACAGGCTCATGAGCAACTGCAAGCAGAAGTTCTCAGGTACAAAGCCAAAATTGATGACCTAGAAAAAGCTTTGGCTCAGAAAGGACAGGTAAGCCCGATTCTATTGCCCAGCTCTTCCAACTCAGCTACATTGCTTGTTCCTCACCTCCTCCATTACACTATGGGTAGTTGAGCTTTCAGCCATTACTGTCTCATCCACTGGAATTCACTCTCATAGAATCATAGAATTGGCTGTGCCGGCTCTTTGAAAAGAGCTGTCCAAATTAATTCCATTCCATTGCTCTCTCCCCATAGCCCTGCAAACTTGTCCTCCCCAAATAATTATCTACTTCTCTCTTAAAAGTTGCTATCGAATCGGTTTCCACCACCCTTTCAGGCTGTGTATTTCCAAACAACTCGCTGTGTGAAAACATTTCTCCTCACCTCCTCTCTGTTTCTATTAGCAACTATTTTAAATCAGTGTCCTCGAGTTACCGACCCACCCGCCAGTGGAAATAGTTTCTCCTTATTCACCCTATTAAATCCCCTCATAATTTTGAAAACTTCTATTAAGTCTCCTCTTAATCTTCTCTGCTCCAAGGAGAATAATCCTAGCTTCTCTAACCTCTTCTGATAACTGAAGCCCCTCATTCCTGGTACCATCCTGGTAAATCTCCTTTGGTGCCCAGAAATGAACACAGTGCTCTAGCTGAGGTCTAACTCTTAAATCGCTTTGCCTTGTGTCCTCTGCTTCTTCAAAACCATCTTAAAAACATAGAAACCTCTTTCACCATGCCTTTGTTCAATCCTCTTAAACCTTCTTTCTCCTCCTGCACTGTGATCCCTATCATTGTTGGGAAGTACGTGAAGTCATTCTTGCTTAGCGAAAGCTGATAAAAATGGGCAGTTTGTTGAAGGAGATTAAATAGGAATTGAAGGGATGAAATTTGCTTTGTTACAGAGCTTATTCATTGCATTAATTAACATATTTTTAAAAAATGCTAATTTCTTCCCATTCAATAACTATCAACAGGCAACACTCACCTCCCCTCGCAGCTCTATTCAAGCCAACACAACCGTTATGAGACCACTGTAGCTCTTCAATGAGACTCTGAACTTTTTCTGTTTTCTACCATAGGATTCAAAATGGGTTGAAGAAAAGCAACTGTTCATGAAAAGAAATCAGGAGCTTTCAGACAAGGTACTCTGAGTGATTAATCTGCATAACCCCAAGTGCTTGTCCCTCGTGCCCTCCGTTCTATCGTTGGTGACAGCACTTTCAGCCACTATGCCCCGAAACTCTGGAACTCTCTCTCTCAATCCCTCTGCCTTGCCCCCTCCTTCCCTATCTTTAGGTTGCGCCTGAAGACCTTCCTTTTCAACCGTGCTTACTGTCACTTCATCTTCCCCCCGGCTCAGCTTTGTGCTGTGCCACAATCAGGCACTCTAGGGTCTGCCCTATGTGAGGGGTAGATGCAAGTTGTTGTTGCGGTTTTCTTTAAATCCTTCATTATTTCATTTTGAAAGTTTTGAGTTTTTTTTAATTGTGAAAAACTTTACTTTTAACATTCTTTACAATAAAAGTCTCACCGCTTCTGTTAACCGGAATTGCTGGGCGGTAGGTTTCAAATATTGTGCGAAGTGTCAGCAAATGTATCAGCTTGGTTTAGTTGGCAGCACTTGCCTCCAGTTGTTTGTTCGGCTTTGCTGTGCGCAAAATGGCTGGTGCAGTTGCCTACAAATACCTGGAAGTATTTTGTTATAGATACTGTGTTAAATGTAAAGATTATTGCATGTGCTTAATATATCTAGTGCCCTTAACAGATGGTACAGTAGATTCAATATTTGCATATTAAAAATAGCATGTCTTTGCTCTCTAATTTTATTCTGTAAATTTGGAGACTAGTGTGCTGTTTCACCTCTTTTGTGTGGTGACCAAACAATTTGCAGAATGAAAACAAGCAAACAAACCACCTACATATGGAAATTTCCCTTTGTCTCGAATTAGTATGTACTCCCTTCTTGGAGGGAGACCTGCTGTTTATCTAATTCCGCAAAGTATTAGGTGCAGGATTGGCAGGGACCAAGACTTGGGCACCCCAGAGTGTGCTTTCAGGTCACTTCTATGGTTTAACCAGCTGAAACTACATAGTTTCCATTTGAGCATTGTATGATAAGCTTCTCATTACTTGTCCAGCTTGAAACACTCTCTGTGTTAGGGCTTTATTTTGCAGGGGTAACAGGAGCCAATTGGGAAGAATTCCCTCCCCCCATGATTTATCCACTGTCCAAGACTTGCCAATTAAGCAGGCTGGCTGGTCTGTCTTTAGTATCTTGGAATACTATGGATCTGCCTGGTTCAGGAACTGGACTATCGAGACTACCATAAAAGATTGATTTTAATTCTGATATTTCGTTGTCAGACATGTTACCTTGGAGCCAGCTCAAGCCCATCCTTGCTACCACTCCCCCCCACCCAGGAGAATAGTCACTAGTTAGCCATTAGACATCCAACAAGCACAGGTTTGAGCCCTCATAGGTGAATAGCAGGTATCAGAAACTCATTGTGAGCCAGCATGGAGAACAGCATAGGTCAGTATGAAATAACAAAGACTTTTCCTCATCTTGTGGCCTAATACATCTCTCATCCAATTTCATCCAAAAAACACAATAGTTTAATTGATCAATCCCATTGTCGATTGTGGGAAACTCCTGGCACAGGTTAACTGCTGAATTTTCCTACTCACTCCACTTCAAATTAAGTCAATAAGTGAAGCACTTTGAAAATAATGTACTTTTGAATGTACTGCTGAAACCCTGGTCCACGCCTTTGTCACCTCAAGGCTGGACTATGGGAACTCTCTCCTCGTCGGCCTTCCCGCCACCTCCCTCCACACTGCAGGTTATTCAGAACTCTGCAGCTCGTGTACTGTCCCGCACCAGGCACCGGGACCACATCACTCCCACCCTCGCTCCCTCCACTGGCTCCCCATCTCCCAGAGGATTGATTTCAAGATCCTCATCCTCACCTACAAGGCCATTCACGGCCTCGCTCCCTCCTACCTCTCCAACCTACTATCCCCCTACCTACCTGCCTGTACCCTCCGTTCCTCCGGCTCCGGTCTGCTCCACGTCCCTTGCTCCAATTGCCCTACCATCGGTGGTCGGGCCTTCAGCCTCTCAGCCCCGAGGCTCTGGAACTCCATCCCCCAGTGCCTTCGCCTTGCTTCCTCCCTCTCCTCCTTCAAGGCCGGTCTCAAAACCTTTCTCTTCGACCGAGCCTTCAGCTCCCCTCTCGACTCTCTTCCCCCTTCTCGCTCCCTCCCATTCCTCCCCTCACCATTTCCCCCCTCCTCGCTCCCTCCCCTCCCCTCACCCTGACCATTTCCCCCCTGCTCGGGTCATGACCCAACTGTGCAGCGCCTTGGGACGTCCTTCTGACGTGAAAGGCGCTTTATAAATGGAATCTTGTTGTTGTTGTTGTTTTTCAGTTATTTTAAATTACTATTTTTCTCAAAAGTATTGTTGGAACAATTGGTACGATGATGAATTCAGACACATTTTTGCACCATTTTGCGGATGCAAACAATGTTTGATAATGAATATACTCTCTAGAAATAAATAATAAGTCTTTCATTTAATAAAGTGCCTTTCACAACAGCAACAACTTACTTATATTATTTCATTTATATAGTGCCTACTAACCCTGCTAACCCCATATCAACCCGTCTGCTCCCTATGCTTATTATTATGCTCAACAGGCTCTGCCTGCTCCATGTCCCCCGCCTGGCCCTCCCCACCATTGGCTGTCAGGCCTTCAGCTTCTCTGCCCCTACTATGTGGAACTCAGTCCCTTTCTCTTGCCCCCTCTCTTGCCTCCTTCAAAGCACATCTCAAGACCCTCCTCTTTGAATGTGCATTCGGCCACCCTCCTACCCATACTGTCCCTGCCCTTCACTCCCTCCGATCCCAATCCCTGTTCGGGTCCAAATCCCTGACTGTCCAGGGCCCAGGATGTCCTCCCGATGTGAAAGGAACTATACAAATGTAATTTGTTGTTGTTGCCCTTCATGCACGGAGTATCTCAAAGCTCTTGAATAATGTCTCAAAGGGTCTGACAGGATTTACTGTAAAGTTTAGTTGCTGATTCATACGATGCAAAACACAAAGCATTAAAAGATAGATGTGTAAGTGTTATAATCACATTATTTTAATCCTTGTTTCCTACAGATTGATAAATTGGAGATTGAAGTCAGTCGACTACACCAGGAAGTTCAGGATTCCCGGGACCAGAATGAGCTGTTAGAATTCCGCATCCTGGAACTGGAAGTAAGAGAACCTTCTATCAGGGAGCTATGGGGAAGGTTTTACAAGGATTTAGAATCAACGATTTACAGGAATCCTCAGAGCGAAGTATCCTATTTCATCCTGCTCAGTTTAAGTGAAGGTTGGCAAGAGCCAAGGATTGGGGACCCCAGAGCTTGTACAACTGCTGGAGCTTAACCAGCTAAAACCATGTAATATTCCATTGCTGGTAAGTCTGGTAAGCTTCTTGTTGCTTCTCAGCTTGGATCAGTCAACCATAAATTGGGATTTGATTGGTTAAAAACAGCCAAGAGACAAGGATATCTGCAAATCTACCTGCCCAAATCAGGTTCAAAAGTTTATATTCTATGCAAGTTTGACATAACTCATACATAAGTCATATTAAATGTATGGTTCCAACTGGTGTGACTTAAGTGAGGTTTACTTTAGGATATAGATTATCCAAGAAGTTACTGGAGGGACATTCTGTCAGTAAATTTATGAGGGAATTAGGTAGCTGTTTGTTACAGAAAGTGATTGATAGGAATGAGATAGATTAGTGTAGGACTATTGTTTTACTTTGGGATTGGATGGATAGACCGCAGTGGTCTTTTCAAGTCCTGGAAACTGAACTGAATTTCTATCTAACTTTTACTAGAGTCATAAGTACATAAGTATATAAGTACAAATAGTAGAGCAGTCAAATGGTGGGTAGGAAGAGGGAAAAATTGGAGTAATAATATAAATTATAAACCTTGTTTCTCTGAAATTGATTTATCAAATCGTGTTTATTCAGGGGAAGCTTAGCCCTGAAATTCAACCTAGCATTAGTTTCTAAGATTATTTTGTCTTGAATTGTGGAAAATTCTTAAGATTCAATAATAATAATAATCCTTGCCTTTGATATAGTGCCTCATCACGTCTTCGAGACGTCTCAAAGTGCTTCACAGAATATACTGTAAAGTGAATTTACTGTATATTTTGTGGGGGAAATGCAGCAACCAATTGCGCCAGAGCATGATTCACTGTGTTTAGCGGAGAGAGTAATGGCAGATGTGGTGTAAACTGAAGCCTGTCAGTCGAATGTTTAAAATCTCAACACTTTTGGAAAGGGTGGGGTGGGGGGAAGGTTCTTGCGGTGTCCTGTTTGTGCCACATTATTGAGTACAAATTGGCTGCTATGCTTGTAAACAAAATATGCAGTCACTACACTTCACAGTAAATCCCTTGAAGCGCTTTGAGACATTCTCCCATCATAAAAAGTGCTATAACAAATTCAAGGATTACAGATTAGGTATTATATCCTGGCTAATAATCCCTCAAATAAATGAATCATTCACCATAGCTGTTTGGTACTTGATAGTAATTACCTGCAGATGTTTCAATATGTTAAAACACAATAAAATGTGAGTTTTTCTTTCTTCTTAGGAGAGGGAGCGACGATCTCCTGCTTTTAACCTCCAGATCACGCCTTTCTCTGACGGTGTAAGCGCTCTTCAGATCTACTGCATGCAGGAAGGTGTGAAGGTAGGTGTGCCACATCCTCTTGCTATACTGTATACTGTGAGTCCTGTAGCTCAGTGGTTAGAGCATTTGCTTTGCAAGCAAGAGACCTGAGTTCAATTCCATGCAGGGCAAAACCTTGGGCAAGTTTCCTTACTCCACGCGCCTAATAATAATCCCTCCAAAAACCAAAAACAATAATAAAATTGGTCATTTTCAATCTACGACTGTTTGTGGGACATTGCTGTGCGTAATTGGCTGCCGCATTCGCCCACAAATATACAGTCAATTCACTTTAAGGTGTGTTCTGTGAAGCGCTTTGGGACGTCCTCCCGACGTGAAAAGCGCTATATCAAATGCAAGGATTATTATTATTATTATTCACATCATTAAAACATGATGCGGTATGATCCATTTTTAAAAAATCTTACCTTTATGAATTCAAGATCTGCGACTTATTAGTGTTAACCTCAGTATAAAATTATGGTACTCGCTAGCAGCCATTTACTCATGGTATTTACTTTCCTTCCTGCTTCCTAATGTCAGTACCATGTTGAAAGCTGAAAAAAAGGGAGTTAGTTTTAGGATTTTATTACAATTTTTAGAATTTTACCAACACTCCCTTTAATCTGAATGTTGTTCCACCTTGAGACAGATTGAGGTAACCCAGTTCTTCTGACCTGTACAGTTTTCCTAACGTATCATACACAGTAGAATATAGATTGTACTGGTTAATGTGGAACTCCGTTATAGGGTCTCCGCTCTTGGGGAGGACAAGTTTGCAGGGCTATGGGGAGAGAGCGGGGGAGTGGGATTGATTTGGAAGCTCTTTTCAAAGAGCCCACACAGACACGATAGGCCAAATAGCATCCTTCTGTGCTGTATAATTCTATGATTCTATACCATGTTGTTTTAGGTATAGCCCAGATCCATTGTAATAATAATCCCTCCAAAACAAACAATAATAAATTGGTCATTTTCAATCTACGACTGTCTGTGGGACATTGCTGTGCACAATTGGCTGCCGCGTTCGCCCACAAATATACAGTCAATTCACTTTACAGTGTGTTCTGTGAAGCGCTTTGGGACGTCCTCCCGACGTGAAAAGCGCTATATCAAATGCAAGGATTATTATTATTATTGTGATAATGAACACCCAGCTTCTGCCAGATTGTCAAGTCACTGCCTGCATACTATACTGTGCTGATGGCAGTTCCTGCCGCCTGTGAATGCACAGGAAGTGCTGCTAACATTACTTATTATTGTAATAATAATCCTTGTGTTTGATACAGCGCCTTTCATATCGAGACGATGTCTCAAAGCTCTTCACAGGATATATGACTGCATTTGTAGGCGAATGAACCAAGTGTGGAAGAGTGGAGCTTCCTGTGCACAGTGAGCATGTGCAATACACAGCAAGTGATGTTAGAGGCAACCTGACGACCGAAACGTCAGTCATTATTTTGCACCTTATTTGTCACATGGCCGCTAAGACCCTGGACCCAGCCCTATAATGAGGTTTTCCTGTATTACCCTTTATTGCTACATTAGTTCATAACATATCTAACACTTGTGCATTGATCTGTGCGATACACCGTGTTTAATAATTACAGTGTGTGTGAAGCAGTTTTATTGGATTTTCTGTGGTTTGTTTATACATTATTAACCAACACGGTCAGCTTTGATGCTACAGTACTTACAAGGGTTATATTAATGAGTTTAATTCCTGAGAACAGTGAATGGTTCTGAGTTTGGAGTGGTACCAAAGAATGTGTTACACCTTTAAATAGATTTTAAGTATGTACATTCTAACTTTTTTAGCCTTTGAAAACGTTTCTATTCATGTTATTTGGTGTTCGGATAATCCCTTCATTGATACAACAACAACAACAAATCGCATTTATTGAGTGCCTTTCATGTCCCAATGATGATGCCCCAATGCGCTGGACAGTGAAGGGTTTGTACCCGAACTGGGGTTGGAATCAAGATTTGTGGGGGGTCAAGGGGGTTGGGGGGTCGAAGGCACGGTCAAGGAGGAAGGTCTTAAGATGGGTCTTGAAGGAGCCAAGCAAACGAGAGACAAAGGGACTTTCAGAGGGTGGGGACAGAAAGGATGAAGGCCTGACCATGAATAATGGGGCAGGCGGGGTGAGCTACATGGAGCAAACCAGTGCCTGCCGAGTGAAGAGAGCAGAAAGATTGGTAAGGTGTTGATAGATTGCAGAGGTAGGGAGAGGCTAGAAGGTGGCGGGCATCGAAAGTGGATCTTAAACTGAAGTGAAGTGCTTAGGTCAAGATCATGAGGGTTTTCAGCCATGCTCCTATCCTTAAAAAACTCTCCGTGGACCCATTCCTGCTCTCAAACTACCCCCCATCTCCAACCTCCCTTTCCTTTCCAAGGTCCTGGAATGAATCGTGGCTTCCCAGCTTTGCTCCTTCCTTTCCCGCCACTCCCTTCACGAACCCCTCCAATCAGATTTCCGTGCTGCCCATAGCACAGAAACAGCTTTGGTCAAAGTGACAAATTACATTCTGTCCATTTGTGACCAAGGTTCCCTCTGCCTCCTTGTCTTCCTTGACCTCTGCTGCCTTCAATACCATGTAACACTCTATCCTCCTCCACCGCCTCTCCTCTCACCTCAACCTTCATGGTTCTGTCCTTGAATGATTCAGATCCTACCTCTCACACCATCTCCACTTCGTCTCCACAAACGGTTTCTCCTGAAGCCCCCGCACCGTCTCATGCGGCATTCCTCAGGGCTCTGGCCTTGGTCCCCTCTTCAATATCTATATGCTCCCTCTTGATGACATCATCCGCAGACATGGGGTCAACTTCCACATGTATGCGCATGACACCCAACTCTATCTCTCTGCCTCCACCCTTGACTTCAGGACCACTGATATCCTGACAAAATGTCTGTCAGACATCAAGTCCTGGATGAAAGCTAACTTTCTTTAGTTGAACGTCCACAAGTCCGAGGCCCTCCTGATTGGCTCCCGTTAGCGCCTCCACACCTCAGGCGCTGACAGCATCACCATCCTTGGATGCCCACTCCACTTTACTAAGCCAGTCCGGAACCTTGGCATCTTGTTTGACCCTCAACTTTCCTTTCTGTCCCACATCTGTGCCATGACCCGCTCTGCCTTCCCCCACCTCCGCAACATCGCCGGCTCCACCATCATCTCACGCCGCAGGCCGCCGAAACCCTCATGCACGCTTTCATTACATCGAGGCTTGACTATGCAAACTCCCCAATTGTCGGCCTCCCCAATTCCTCCCTCCATAGGCTGCAGATCATCCAGATCTCTGTAGCCGTGTCCTCTCCCGCACCAGGCTCCAGACCCTATCACTCTCATGTCCGACTCCAGTGGCTTCCCATCACACAGAGAATACACTTCAAGATCCTGGTCCTCACCTTCAAAGCCCTCCATGGCCTTGCTCCCCACTACCTCTGCAAACTCCTAAGCCCCTACCAACCTGCCTGCTCCCTCCACTCAGCCTGCTTCATGTCCCCCATTTCGCCCAATCACCATTGGCAGGGGAGTCTTCAGCCACTCTGCCCCCACTCTCTGGAGCTCAGTCCCACAGTCCCTCTGCCTTGTCCCCTCCCTTGTCTCCTTCAAGTCCCATCTCAAGACCCTGCCCTTTGACAGTGCCTTCGATCACCCTCCTTCCCCCCCACCCTCCACCTCCCTGATCCCGATCCCCAGCTCGGATCTGAAACACTGACTGTCCAGGGCCTTGGGACGTCCTTCTGATGTGAAACGGGCTATACAAATGTAATTTTGTTGTTGTTGTTGTTGTCTAGGTCATTATCTCTCCAACACATAGTGATTGGATTAGTGTATCCCAATATATCCCTCGCGCTTGGTGGCAGTTTTCACAATCGTGTTCATCGAATCAGTCAACCCAGATCAATAGATGTCAGACACACAATATGGGGATCATACTGCTATTAGGTTCAAGCACTTTATCATAGTTTAATCTGGTTGATAGATTGGGCTAGTTCAACAGTTTGGCTCAGTTGGTAGCACTCTTGCCTCCTGGTCAGAAGGCTATAATAACACTGATTTGAATTTATATAGCGCCTATCACACAAAATAGGTTTTGGGTTCAAGTAACAGACTGAGGCGTAAACTCACAGTCTAGGAGGACATTATAGTAAGCAACTGGGGACAACTACATTTGACATTTGGATGAAACATTAAACTGAGATAGCATCTCTGCCTGTTCAGGTGGATGTTAAAATCCCATGATACTATTGCAAAAAGAAGCTTCTTTCGATGCCGTGGTCAGCATTCCTCCAGACAAGGGAGGGCCAATTTGGGGCCACCCAGGTGACTATTTTACGCTTGTGATCCGTGGGCCATAAGTTGGCCATCCCTGTTCCAGACCATTCGCTTTCTGGATGTTTGTGGGACTTTGGTTGCTCGAAGGGCTGTTGGATTTTGCAGATGAGAAACAGTCTCTACACTGGGCAGTAATTACTGGGAAAAATTTTGAGACAGTTTTAATGCTAGCTTCTTTCTTCTAAGTTGCTAACTCTTGTCATCACTTATTTTGCAGGATGTTTGTATCCCTGAGCTTATAAAACAACTGGACATCCTGGGCGACAATGGGGTAGGCGGCTTTTCTCAGAGTGCATTCACAATGAAACATTGGTAGTATAAATTCTGTATCTACAGAACTCTCAGTAGAAAATTATTTTTCTTTATGATCATAGTTCAAACTCTCAAATGGGATGGACCTTAATTCAAAAGAATTGTTTTGAGCTCTCTTGATGGCTGATTACATAATGTTAACACCTGATGCAGCATTGAGCCATACAGACCAGAGGGTTTCTGCTGTGACTCTTGACCTGTGAGTTAGCTGATTTCAACACCAAGAGGAACACATTTGGTCAATCTCGGACAGGGAAACTGATGTCTTGGTGATGGTTTCATTCTACAACAACAATGACGAATTGCATTTACATTGCATCTTTCACGTCGGGAGGACGTCCCAAAGCGCTGGAAGGTCAAGAATTTGCACCCGAGCTAGGGATTGGAATCAAGAGGGTTGGAGGGCAAGGAGAGTGGTTGTGGGAGGATGACCTAAAGCACAGTGAAAGAGGAAGGTATTGAAATGGACAGGCACCATATGAGGCAACAAGATGTATCCTACCATATATTCCAGTAATCAGGTGCTCCCAACTCTCTACCCTGCACCTACTGATCTGGCAGTTAGGAGGCATACTGGAGCAATGCAAGGCATCTCCATTTCATGCTCTCTTCCCTGAAAAACGTCCTAAAGGCAAAAACCTTGGGATTTCTGCTTTACATCTCAACTGATAATTGGGTGATTTAAAACCCTGCCTGAGATCCATTATTACAAAGAGGAGCGGTAATATTAACCGCATTGTTCAAAACCTGATACTAATCTATTGAGGCAGAAATTGGATTTGCCATATGTAACCATAGCACCAGAGGAAGCTGGAGTCTTAAATGATGATTTTTAATTATATGATAGAACCGGCTAACTATATTTTGCCTTCTAAAGTATTGCTTCCTGTGATAAATTGGCCTTTTTTAAATACATCTCAGTTTTTCACAATCACTTTGCAATTCTAAAGAAAATAACTACAGAATTTTACAGTATTTGGCAGTATTTCAACTTTTAATTGGCCTGTGGCCAAGAAATATTGGAGAGTTTATAACTGCTTAGTCACATGGATGCTCCTTTTCAGATGAATGTTTCTGATTTTAGTAAGATATGTGTCTCTGATCACTTTCTTTCAAGAATTTGAGAAATGAAGAGCAAGTTGCCATCATCCAGGCAAGCACGGTGCTCTCTCTAGCTGAAAAGGTATGCCACGCCTTTCATTCAAAGATCTTTTCTTTATTTATTTATTGCAGTGAGTTAAAAAGTAAAATATGATTCCAGGTGTCTGCCTGGTTGTCCACGCCAATTTTTCACAGATATATTTCTTACGTTAATGAGTCTCCATCATGTTGACATCTCAGCGTAACATTTGCATAGTCTACTTAACTTTTTGAATCATAAATGGATTTTATCAAAATGATAACATTCTGGGTGTGGTGCCTTCTACACACATTTGTATCTCATTTAATAAAATTCTGAAAGTTAATATGTGCCCTCTAGTGGTTCTGTGTGGAATTGTCTGATACCTTTTCCTCTGTAAATCCATGGTCCAAACAAATTACTTGTGTGGTTTAGAGTGTAACTTAGTCCCAGCGCAGCCATTGACCAATGCCTGCATTTAGTCCAGTTTCTCAGTTCCATGCATTAAGCATTAACAGTGCTATATCCTTCCCCAGTGGCTGCAGCAGATAGAAGGAACCGAGGCTGCACTACACCAGAAGATGATAGACTTAGAAATTGAGATGGTAAGAAATAATGCTCTTAGATAAGTAACCACCCTTTATAAAGTACAATTCTAATGCAAGTGTAAAACGCCACTGTCTCTCTCCTGTTCACTTCCTTTCTGTAACTGTTCTGCTTATTAAATACTGGTTCAAACTGGTTGTGTGTTTAACCCATCACCTGGAAAGAGCTCTCCTAAGACACAGGAAGGAAACAAACAACGGAGCACAATGTTGTACGAGCATCTCTTTTCAGTGGTAATAATTAAAACAATAATAATATTCCTTACATTTGGTGTAGCTCTTTTCCTGTTGGGAGGCTGTCTCAAAGCACTTCACAGGATATACTATAGAGTAACTGTATTTTGTGGGTGAACGTTACAGTGATACCAGAGAAAAGATAAACAACTGCTGTTAACCCACCAATCAATTATTATTGGTAAAATATACAAACGCTTTAATGCTCAAAAACACAGTTTGGGGTCATGTTACTTTCAGAAACATAAATGGAACCAAAATTTTGAAAAGAATGGGTGCAAAAGCAAAAAGGATTTGAGTGTATTACGCTAAATCATTTCCATCCTGGTCTTTTATTGCAATGTAATAATCCTCGTATTTGACACGGTGCCTTATCATATCTTCAAGACGTATCAAAGCGCTTCACAGAATATACGTAGGATGTTCTTACAATTTGGTTACTCTTTCTACAAAATATGTCATGTTCTGACATATAAAGATGACCAAGGACATGCTGGTTGATGTTTACAGATTTGCCTTTTTGCAGTGGATACTTCCCAAACAAAAGATAATCTTTTCTTTATCCTTGCAGGATATGTTTTGTAAACAGAAAGGCTATTTAGAGGAGGAGCTAGACTACAGGAAGCAAGCCCTGGACCAATCTTATATGGTAAGTTATTGCAAGTCAGGCCCTATTTGTGCAGCTGTTAAATACCTAGTGCACATTGCTTCAAACATAGTTTGCATTCAACAGAGCAAGTTCAGAGAAAGAGATTCTCTGAAGTACATTTTTACATAATCTTCCTCCTGAAATCTGACCTTTTATCAAGATTCTCACTTCCTGTTGACCTTTACAATTGAGTTTGTTTCTCAGTGAATGCCTTTCTTTATGCCAGCTGATGCCATTTTTATCGAGCATCACAATATTGGTAAATGCTCCTCTTTTATCAAATAGATAAACTTGTGAAATGTATGTTTTTTCTGGTAAAGCAGGCAGGCAAAGTCCAGAAAAATACATTCCTGATAGGATGTAACTCTCTTACGATTATAATAACTTTCACAAATTCTTCAGTTTCCAATTTCCTTCTGAAGTTATTTATTGTTTTAATGTAAATCTCTTCACCATGTCTCCCCCTCCTAATCCATCTTTAAATCCCAACTTAAGCCCTACCTCTTCAACCATCACCTCTCCCTTCTCACTTGCTCAGCGTCTAACCCTGTCACTTTTGCAGCGTTCTGAGACGCTGTCTTGGATGAAGGACGCAACATAAATGGAAGCTGTTGTTATAACTTTGGTTGAAGAAGCCTATTAGAATTGTGATGGGGGAAATTGCAGATGGTTCCCTAGATTTATCTGTGCTGTTTTAGTTACTGTGCTGGTTTGAAGGTTAATCTGGTTTGGATCTTATCTAGAGCTACTTTCACAAGACCTATAAATGAATGCCTTGACATTTTCCTGCACTCACACCTATCACGGAAGAGATATTTGCTCATTTTATTCCCCAGTAAATCAACCTACTTCTGGGACAATGTTATGCCAATATATATCAGAAAGTCAGTTCCTTAAGTGTGCATATCTCTTACAGCACAAAGTGCTGATCTAAAGTAAATGACCAAGTAATCTGGAGGATTGCTGACCAGGACAGCAGATGCAATCTCTACTCGCATTGTTACACTTACTGACTATTTCCTGTTGTGAACTCATTCTTTCAGCATATCCAAGAGTTGGAAGCTACCTTGTATAATGCACTGCAGCAGGACACAGTAATAAAAATGGGGGAATCTCTGACTGAGAAACAGAAGGATGACTTGCGGACTGCCGTGGAGAAATTGAGACGTCAAATGCTGAGGAAGAGTAGGGAGTATGATTGCCAGATCCTACAGGAGCGCATGGAGCTTCTGCAACAAGCACATCAGGTAACACTTTACTACAAGAAGATCAGCTATTCAGCCTTGGAATCTGCAAACCACAAAATGAAACCATCTGTTTGTAGATGCAGTTTTCCTCAGTGTAAAGTGAGCACTGAATGTCTTTGGTTTAAGACTGAGTCTCGTGGCACCAATTGAAGTACTGTGATCCAGTGTACAGTACACTGTGATGCAGTGTAGTTTTGCCTTTCAGTGTAGTGTGAAAGACACTTCTGACAGCACTTCAAGCAGGATATTATTTCAACAATATACATGCTCGCTCTTGGTGACATCATCCACAGACATGGGGTCAACTTCCACATATACGCGGATGACACACAACTCTATCTCTCTGCCTCCACCCTCGACCCCAGGACCACTGCTATCCTGACAAACTGCCTATCAGACATCAAGTCCTGGATGAGAGCTAACTTTCTCCAGTTGAATGTCAAGAAAACGGAGGCCCTCCTGATTGACTTGAGTCAGCGCCTCCACACCTCAGGAGCTGACTGACAGCATCACCATCCAAGGATGCACATTCCACCTAAGTGAGCCAGTCCGGAACCTTGGTGTCTTGTTTGACCCTCAACTGTTCTTTCTCCCCCACCACAGCAACATTGCCCGGCTCTGCCACTGCCTCTATTCTAAGGCCGCAGAAACCCTCATTCATTCCATCTCGGCTCAACTATGCCAACTCCCTGCTTGTCGGCCACCTCAACTCCCCACTCCACAATCTGCAGATCATCCAGAACTCTGCAGCTCATGTACTCCCACACACCAGGCTCCGTGACCCTATCACTCTCACCCTCACCCGGCTCTATGGGCTCCCCATCCCCCAGAGAATAGAATTCAAAATCCTCGGCCTCGCTTTCAAGGCCCTCAACGACCTTGCTCCTTTGTACTTCTGTGACCTGCTAACCCTATATCAACCTGTCCATTCCCTCCACTCATCAGGCTCCGGCCTGCTCACATCTCCCGTCCGATCCCCCCCACCATCGGCGGTCGGGCCTTCAGCCTCTCTGCCCCCAGCTTTTGGAATTCTATTCCACAATCCCTTTGCCTTGCTCCCTCCCTTGCTTCCTTCAAGACCCTCCTCTTCGACTGCGCCTTCAGCCATTCTCTTGCTCCTAGCCTCCCTGCCCTCCACCCTGACTGATCCCAAATCCCTGCTTGGGCCCAAATCCCTGACTGTGCAGCGCCTTGGGACGTCCTCTTTGACCGTGCCTTCAGCTCCCCTCTCGACTCTCTTCCCCCTCCTCGCTCCTTCCCTTCCCTCCCCTCACCCTGACCATTTCCCCCCTCCTCGCTCCCTCCGTTCCCTCCCCTCACCCTGACCATTTCCCCCCTGCTCGGGTCATGACCCAACTGTGCAGCGCCTTGGGACGTCCTCCTGACGTGAAAGGCGCTTTATAAATGGAATCTTGTTGTTGTTGTTGTTGTCCTTCCGGTGTGAAAGGCGCTATACAAATGTAATTTGTTGTTGTTGTAACTTGCAGAGAATAAGAGATCTGGAGGATAAAACTGATATTCAGAAACGGCAGATCAAAGACCTAGAGGAAAAAGTGAGTTGGTAAACCTTTTCCTTGTCAGAAAATGTACTATTTTAAACAATGTATCAGATAATTAGAGCATTAAAGCAAGGCAACCGGAATGCTGGGCTATATCGCCAAATCAGTTGAATTCAGATTTCCATATGTCATACTCAAGCTGGACAGTTCTCTGGTCAGGCAGTGCAGGGAAGAGCAACGAGGACGATTCCCAATGTTAGAGGATTGAGCAATGATTAGACAAGCTCTTGAAAAGAGATGTTTAAGGGGGGAACTTAAAGAGGTATATAAACTTTTAAACAAGATTAAGAAATTAAATTTAGAATAATACTTTCAGATATACCGCGGCAGTGGAATAAGAGGACACTGATTTAGAGTTGCAAAAGGCAATTTCAGGACAGACATTAGGAAATTATTTATTAACTAAGAGGGAAATTAATGACCGAGATAGATTCCCAGGAAGGGTGGATGAGGGCAGGATGCTAGACTCATTTATTAAATCAGTTTGATGCTGTGATGGGAGGATGGTTGCGTGGGTATTCATATGTGCAGAAAGGTTTTCTTCATCTTTATGATCTTGTGGTATAATACATCAGTGAGCACAGTATTGGTTACAAAAATGAAGACCTTCATATGGACCGGGTAATTGTCTGATCACAATAACAGTGAGGTGCCTTCGATCAGTCAGGTGGAAACTTTACCAAATGATATTCTTACCTCCATTGGAATGGTTAAAGAAACCAAACTGGAAGAGCTTTAGTGTTTTCAGTGAAATTAATGCCGTGGCATTGTGTGATAAAACACAAGTGGGGGAAAATGCGTTATATGATGTGATATATCATTGCCGAAAAGCCGAAGCTTATCTTTAACTGTTGACCATGTTAAGCGTGAAAACATCCCCAAACTTTGTCTTTAATGGTTTGTTCTGAAGCCAGTTGAGTTCTTCACAGGCCATTATACTGGTGTAACTCAAGTCTGATTGGTGCTCCACACAGAAGGACTGAAAGGACTGATTGTGGATAATAAAACAAATATGGTGGCCGTCAGTTTGCTGCAAATCATTGTGATCAAGATGGGGCCAGGGGGAGTGCTCATTGCCAAACCTAACCATAGTTACAACATACTTGGATCACACTTTTCGGCAAGGTGTTAATTATATCACATTTTCAACTCCCATATTTCTACACTTGATGTTTGTTTGTTCTAAACATTTTTCCTTTCTTCTGTCTTTCCCTTTTCTCTCCGCCTCCAGTTTCTGTTTCTATTTTTGTTCTTCTCCCTTGCCTTTATCCTTTGGCCTTGATGTCAATGAGACTTCCAAATGAAGGTAAGTGGATTGTGAGTCCTTTCACATTGTTCATCTGATGGCAAGTTGAATCTAAGTTAAAACTCCTGTTTTTTTTCCACTGGACCTCTCCACACTAAAGCTCTTGGATCAGACTCCATGCAAGCGATGGGGGGTGGGGGGAGGATAGGAGGAGAGGGAAATTGGCTTGGGTGGGGAGGAAACCTCTTGATTTGATACATTTTTGACCAAATCTCTGGTGGTTAAGGGAAGTGGAATTATGGGGAAAGCTTTTGAGCAACATACAAGTCAAAATAACAACGGTTCTTCCCCATGATTCATAACAATATAATAATGCTTACATTTGGTGTAGCACCTTTTATATCAGGAAAACATCTAAGCACTTCAGAGGATATACTGCAAAGTGCAATGATTGCGTTTTCTAGACGCAAAGGGAGCCAGTTTGCACCCAGCAATGTTCTACAAACAGCTATGAAGTCAATGACCATTTTTATTTGGAGATTTGATGATTCTCAGTCTAGGTGAGCCCAAGCTATAAAACAGAACATTTTATCAATATTTAAGAACTGGAAAAGCCTTGCTGCTATTTTGACTTTGATATGTTCAGGGCACAAACGTCTGAATCTCAGTCTGTCCAAACTCTGGGGTTTTGGTCCCAGCATAGACCAACAGGCCCCTCCCTTCCCCCCCCCCCCCCCCCAGACTCCAGCTCGGGTCTGAAATGTTGTACTCTGTCCAGTGCCTTAGGACGTCCTCCTGACTTGAAAGGCGCTATCCAAATGTAATCTTGTTGTTGTTGTGTTGCTTTATATTGAAATATAGATTTTGTTTATCATAGAAGTGAGTGGGCCAATCGTGCTATTGTGTCTGTGCCACTGTTAACCATTTTTCTAAATCACCCCTTGTTTACTAATCCCATTTTGCCCACATCCCATGCTGCCTTTACTAAATAACAGGATAATGTACTAGCATTTTCAGGGAACATTACATGACTTTCAGTAATGAAACATTACTTTCATTACTGAAAGTCAAATGCCCTTCAGATGTTTAATATTCAAACTCTCCAGATGCCAGACATTTCTTATAATCCCAGCCTTAAAATTGCTTTAAGATCTTGTAGAATTTAGAAAATTCATGCATTCAGTCTTTATTTGGAAGAAATTTTTTTGCAGTGCTGTTTTAAGAGCTGTGGAAAAACAATTGCCCGATTGAGATTGAATTTAAGAATTTTCCAAATTTTGCACAATCTTACATTTTTAAGGCATGTTCAGGCCTCTGATGAGGGAAGTGTTGCTCAGGTTTACGACTGTGTTCTGTATTTTGCAGGGTGTGAAATGGATTAGAATGGGTCCAACTGGATTAAAATGCTTCCGACACAGTGAAGAGAAGACAACATTACAGAGTTTGAATCACCTTGTAACTGGGGCTAAAAGAATTGACAGGAAGCAGCAAAGATTACGTCTGAAAACATCTGCCTTCTTTGCTCAAACCATTATTCTAGGTATTGTGATTTGCTTGATTCTCCCCTTTGAAGAATGTCGCCTGCTCCAGCAAATGCCGCATTTGGTTTTATCTGCATCGCAAAGCGAGAGTATTTTGAAGCAAAATATTATCTCACACACACACGCACACACACACACACGCACAAAAGTGTCTTAGACATTGAACCAAAGTAAAAGCGAAACAGCTTATCCCTGCTGTGTAGGGGACAATTAAAACATCAATCAATGAAGGCAGAACAAACGACCAAGGAAATAACTTATTATTGCAAATTTGTAATTCATTTGCTCAGAGAAACCCAAACTATTGAACTATACTGGAGTAAATCTGAGTAAAAGGACATTACGTAGAATTACAGGGAATCTGTTCATTTCTTCAGTCATGTTCACACTGACAAGGGCATTTATTGACTAAGGAAGGCTTAATGGGTTGTTAGAATGAAAGCCTGAGTAAGCCTTGAACTAAAATAAGCAAAGTAAACCTGCAGTGAAGCAAGACATTCATCAGGAGAAGAGTGGCTGAAGACCCAGATGGTGAAGAGCCTTGGTAACATTTATGTGAAATGTTGTATAAGTGTTTACGGTGATTCAAGATCTGTCAATCTAGGTCCTTCCCTCATAGCTGACAAGAGTACATTAACTCACTCCCCACTACTTGTACCCTTTGTCTAACAGACCCAGGGCCTTACAGCCCCATTCAGCTTCAATGGTAAGGTTTTATTTCTTCTATCTATTCTTTTCGTGTTGCAAAACATCCAAAACTAAATGTCTTCCAATCTGTCCAATATGACCCCCAAGTCTGTAACCTTGCTTTCTATGTTCCCAGGTCCATATCTGTTTTACATTTCAACACAGACTGTTTTCTATTGGTTATACACGTCAGAGATTTGGACTGTCTGTACTGAAAGGACAAGGATTTAGTGGCTATGCAGACACTAGGGTTGAAAACATATGATCAATGTGGTGTTCCTCTGCCCAAAGTAACCCACAATGCAAAGTTCTGCAGGAAATGCTCTGAATGTAACACAGGCTTGTGAGACCTGAGGTCTGAGGAGATTCCTTGTGGAGCCAAGTCTCCCGAGTCAGCGTAATGTGCAGAGCATTCAAATACACTCTACATTGTGACGTTCATTTTTTCAGCATCCAAGTACCAGTAATGGTACAATTTTAAACCCCACTGAGGCTCAACTTGGAGTATTATTGGAATAATTCTAATTTGTTAACTTTGAGTCTCCTTTCCATTGAATTATTTTTAAATATGCCAGATTTGTTCCTCTTCTAACATTTTGGAGTCCTGTAGCTCAATGGTTAGAGCACTCGCCTCGCAAACGAGAGACCTGGGTTCGATTCCCGGCAGGGTGAAACCTTGGGCAAGTTTCCTTACTCCACAAGCCTCTGTCTACTCTGTAAGTAGGAACCCAGTTGTTAGTCGATTTGGAGAATCGCTTTTCCGGGGGTAATAATTCCTTCAAAAAACAATTGGTCATTTCAATCCACGACTGTTTGTGGGACACTGCTGTGCGCAATTGGCTGCCACGTTTCACTCACAAAATATACAATCAATTCACTTTACAGTATATCCTGTGAAGCGCTTTGAGAAATCTTGAAGATGTCTGCTTCTTGTCCCCTGCCCACCCCATAGTCAGCAGTTGGGCTTTCAGCCTTTCTGTCCCACCTCTCCAGAGCTCCATCCCAGAGTTCCTTTACCTCGCCTTTTCACTCACTGCCTTTAAGATCCGTTTCAAGGCCTTCCTTTTTGACCACGCCTTTGGTTACCTCCCCACCCACCTTGGCACCACCGATCCTAAATCCATCCCCAACTCACATACAAAACCCTCAACTGTCCAGCACATTGGGACTTCCTACCAATGTGAAAGGGGCAATATAAATTCAATTTGTTGTTGTGTCCTTTATTGATGAATGTTAAGAGTACAATGAATAGCAAGCCGTAGAGAACCATCAGCTATTTAATTGAAATTAGAAGGAGTCTTGCAGTGAAAGATCTGCTTGTCTCATGGGCCATGTGGAGTAGGAACATGACCCATGTCAGCCAGCAGCTCTTGCTGTGCTTTTTGTATTCAGTCTTCTGTTCTTAACATACTGTACTCATAGTGAGGTAAATGGCTTCTCACCCATTGCAACTGACTTCCCTTTTATTTTATGTAGCTTTTATAATTTTCCTTATTGCTGCCCTTTGTTGTACCTTACTTATACTTTAAATTATTTTCTTGCTTGATCAGTTTGTTTTTATTATGCTTTGTGCTCTTTTGTTGTAACAAGGGCCGCTAACCAGAAACAATTCAGTTAATTGCAGAGTTGGATCCTAAATCAAAACATTTCAGCCCCCTCCGATGGCCCAGTGGAACATTAGGCCTTACAAAAAAGTTGTATGATTGATCTCAACTCCCTCAAAGCCACTGCATTAGGGATGGGAACTGATTCAACCAATGGCTCAACTGCTCCTGATTACTATCCAGTTACCCTTACTGGAAATTGTGGACAATGTTTGAGAGAAAGATTGGGCTTGGTAGTGCCAACATCCAATTTCTACACAATCAGCTCTGTAAGACTATTAAAAACAACCTCCATTGAATGTTCCTGCCCATTCTCTTGATGTGCCTGTGGATTTTCAACAGCTGATATGGGAGCAAGCCTAATGTAATTTGCACTCATTATATTTATCCTACAGCAGGTAAAAGTCACGTCACTCCTGAAGCTCTCGCTTCCTCTGACCATTAAGTGGAGTTTTAGTGTGACTTTTACCGGCTTAGCCCATAGTTATACCACGCCTCTGTTCAACCAATGCCTAAACTGAAGCCATTATCACCAAACAGTTATACATTAATGCTTGTATGGTGGAGTCCTGCCAGGTGTAGTCCCAATCCTGTCCAGCATGATGTAATTTTTTTTAATTACCCCAAATCTCATTTAATGCCGTCGGATGTATATCCCATTCCCCCAATCCAAATTTGAACGATTAGTGGGCAACGATAGATTTTAATTTTCGGTTAAATCTCCAAAAATGTTCAATCTCTTGATCCATCTGTGAATTATATAAAAGCCCAATTTTGGCAATTTCATGTGGACGTCCCAAACAGTCCTTGCCCCTTTCTGCATCATGCCAAAAGGCACTTGTAGCTGTGAATGAGTTGAAGTATTTAGTGCGAGTTTATCCAGAGATGGTTGAAGGACAAAAAAATTGGCCTATTGTTATTTTGCAAAACCTAATTTAAAGTAATTAAAATGATAGCTAGCAGGCCCTCTCCCACCAGCCCTCAGAGTAATGCCTGGGGGGTGGGGTGGGGGGGAGGTTAGGGATATGGCATATTAATGCCATATTAATGCCATGTCATGTTTATGAACGGTTATTTTTTAAATTTATTATTGGACACTATTTAAACAAGTATTTAGTTGGAGTTTGTATAAAAAAATAAAACCACAAGTTTTCCTATAATCTCGTATTATTTGATCTCTTCTCTTCTTCTCACCCCTGCTGCTCCCATCTCCTGTGTGAATCTTTTGTATTTCGGGGGCTCAGTCCATCTTAACATAGAGCAAAACATAAACTATGAACAAAATAGTCAATCTGTTAAATCCTCATTCAAGATGCTTTTGGTAAAGTAACCCAATCAGCGAATCATGGAATAAGTACTAACGAATCTCATAAATGTAGCACTGCTCACAGCAATGTTCCAGTTATTGACATTGTTTGGTTATAATGGATAACTCTTTTATATAACAGAATGCAATCTGAGCAGGTTGACTAACTAATACTGTCCTTTTGTCCAGCAGCAACTTTTACTACTGTAGTATCTTTCACACAGGAAAGCACCCTGAAGCACTTTAGAGAAACGAGAGACTCGCGTCTTCAGTGGCGTAACCTCTTACTTCAAAGTAATGCAATGTTTCACGTGTTTCAGCATGATGATGAACTATATCAAAGTATTTCAAAAAGTGATATTTACTGACAGGAAGTCATTCTAGAGAATAAAGCACTGTTTTTCCAGGGAGTACACAGTATATACCCAAGTGACCACGGATGGTAATTCTTGAGCAAAAAAAACTCAAGTAAGTGTTTGAGGTGAAACTCTGACTTGTGTTATATTGTGTACCCATTAGGGCTTTGGCTTGCACCATGTGTCTTAAGCGAAAGCAGCAACTCATCGGGTGGAGAAGTTAGCCAATGTTGAACCGCGTGATGCACTGTGCTTTCAGGAGCCTGGCCCCACAAATGATGGCAGGAACACAGCAAGCTTACGCAATAAATAACGGAGCGGGGGAGTATAATTTATGAATGTATCAGAGCTGATTTGCAATGTACACAACATAATGGATGTGCTGGTAACAAGTTGCCAATAATTTCTTTCAGAAGTATTTTTCCAGTCTTGGCTCTGGGAACTTTTTCATCCGAATGCAAATGAGATTCAAGCTTCGGTTCAGGGCCAACCCAGTTCAGGGTGGTTTTATTGATTCTTATTATAGGATTAAAAACTAACAAATACAGCAATGTCAACAAATTTACATTTATATACACTAGTGCCTTTCACATCGGGAGGACGTCCCAAGCCACTGGACAGTCCAGGGTTTACACTTGAGCTGGGGTGGGAGTCGAGGAGTGTGGGGGTCGGGGGGTAAGATGACCGAAGGTGCAGGCAAAGAAGAAGGTCTTGAGGCGCACCTTGATGGAGGCGAAGGAAGCGGCAAGTCCTAGGGACTCTGGGATAGAGTTCAGGAGAGTGGAGGCATATAGGCTGAAAGTCCGACCACCGACCACTGGTGGGAGGTGGAGTAGAAGGAAGCGGGCAGGTTTGTGAAGGTCACAGGTAGGTTGGGGCAAGACCGTGGAGGGATTTAAAACTTAAGATGAGGATCAAGGACAGTGA